AGGGTTTCTGTGAAATAAAAAATGTTTCTAGTTCATTTTTATTGTATATAATCATCATGTCTGTTGTTCTTAAGCTGTTAATACTCTTCCTTCTTTAAGTTTTGGTTGTAAACAAAAGGGTTAAATTCTTATAATGCCCAACAAAAAATTGTCCCATCAGATTTTTTTTTCTGTGTTATCTCAGTAGATATAGCCAAGATAGCTCTCCAATTGATTAGGACTTTAGGAGCTGATCTAAAGGCCTAATGAGTGGGATTAACCACTAACATAATTAGAGATTGACATAATTAGGAAAAATCACATTCCCAATTGGTAGGACCAATTCTGTGAGAAAAAAATGTCACTCTAGGCCTTCTGGAAGTCCTAGATACATCACTGACTGGGAATACAAGTGTTAGCCTGACCAATGCATTTCAGTCAGATGTTAGAAATGGACAGTAGCTCTGTGCCAGACCTTTACTGGAGGAGTCACTGCAAAACTGCACATTAGTATGTCTATTACAAGCTTCAAATTGATTATGGACTACTAGAACGTTAAGATCCCATAGAGATGCTAGCAGAAATTAACCTTGTAGAGGTGCCTAATTTTTGACATTAACAGCTTTAATAATCATGGTTCACAACTGATGTAACTAGGATCTTATGGGCTCCAATGCAAACAATTATCAATCCTTTCATATAAGAATTACTACAATTAATAATAAATAATAATGTAATTTGCTTGTTTTCCTGCTATTGCTTTGTCTAAACTATGTCTAAATGTAGGCTAGAGGTTAAAGTATTTTATAAGGTAAAACAGATAATTCCATAAGTAGCATTAATATAAGGGGTCCAGTAAAGATACAAGGAGCCACCGCACGCAACAGCCCCCCCCGCTTACACTGCTGGTAGTTATGTGAGTAGCCCTTTCTTTCAATCTATCAAAATGAATCATAACACACTTGTACACACAAATAGTCTGTATCAGTATTACATTCTTTAATATTTCTGGGGCCCTGCTCTGTTTGACCCAGATTCATTTCTCTGTCTTCACAACACATCCAGGTGAGTAGAGGTTTCTCTTAAAGTTGCCCACATGAAACACCACAAGACCTTTGCAGAGCTATTGATGTACAAAGTGATTTTTATGTGCTATGCAGCCATCTTTTGCAGCTTTGTGTAATGTGATGGAGCACACATGACATAAGGAAGTAGGATGCAAGTGTGAGCAGGGAGCTTTATTGGTGTCCATGATGAAAGCAACATGTAAACAACAGAAACAAAGAAAAAGCTAACCTATGAAATAACCTAAGAAACCACTGGAACCACAAAACAAAGAAACACACCACAATGTACAAAACACTAGGAATAAATATGCAAAACAGGACTCTGAAAAACACGCTATAACAAACAATGCTGAGCAAGGAACAGGACAAACACATGGGGAACAAACAAGAAACACCTGGGGCTAATGAGAGGGTGGGGCTACAGATTAGAGACAGGTGAGACAGATGACCAGGAGGCAGTACAGGGGAAGAGGCAGGAACAAAACACATCAACAAAAGCACATGGCTTAACACATGGGGGAAGGTAAACAAAGGCAGACACAGACAAACAGAGCAAGGATCTTACACTTTTGAGCACCTTTAGTTCCTTGCCTCACGACACATCATGTTGAGAAATGTATTGCGGTCTATGACAGGATTCAGCAAGACACCTTGCATCAGCTATATGTTATTTATATTTGATGACTTCATTGATCCGTATAGTGCATAGCACTGTGGAGCAGTGGTTTGGTGTTTGCTGTCATAACAAAACTGTGTATCTCTTTAGATGGTAACATCGTGAAATGTCTATATAATGTAGCTTAAAGGGCAGCTTGTGTTTTGGATATTTCAGAGTGGCCCTCAGTTACAATCGCTGTAAAGGCACATACGTGAGTTCGTCTCTGGACTGAAACTGAAGGCAGAGGGATACTCCCCGAGCAACTAAATCACACTTTAGTCAGCAGCAAAAATACAGAGTGGGGAGGGAGCGAGGGATAGCTGGAGAACAAAAGAGAGAGAGAGCAGGGAGAAGAGAAAGAGCAACAGAGTGAGGGAGGGAGGGAGAGAGAGCAGGGCCCACACTGCGGCCAGCAGCAGCAGCAACAGCAACACAGCTCTGAGTTCTATCCCACAATCCCCAAGGGCTTTGCAGTGTGGTGTTGCCATGACGACCCACTCCTCATGCCCAAATTGGAGCGAGAGAGAGAGAGAGAGAGAGAGAGAAGAGAGAGGGAGAGATGCAGAGGAAGGAGTGATTTGAGAGGAGAAAGGAATAGTATCGTAATAAAGGGAGAGAGAGAGAGAAAGAGAGAGGTTCAGAGGAAGGAGTGATTCGTGGAGAGGAGTGGTATCACGATGTGAGATAGAGGGGGCAGAGAAAGAGAGAGCTGAGGAAAGAGTGATTTGAGAAAAGAAATGAGTAGTATTGCAATGAGGGGAAAGAGAAAGAGGGAGAGAGAAGAGAGTCAGGGAGAGGGAGAGAGAGGGAGAGAGAGAAAGAAAAAGAAAAAGATGCAGCAGACAGAGTGATCTGTAGACAGGAGTAGTATCGTGTTGAGAAAGATAGACAGAGAGAGACAGATTAATGCAGAGGAAAGAGGGATCTGTGGAGAGGAATAGTAGCAATACAAATGGGCTTAGAGATATATCGTTGCTGTCAGGACAAAACCTTGTATCTAAATTTTTGTCATTTATTTTTTGACATAATTTGAAAAAGGCAGTTGCCCTTTATGTTGTGTCAAAAATAAATGGTCCAAATTACTTGGAAAAAAATATTACTCCATTCACTTCCATTAAAAGTTAAGAACATTTTCCCTGTCCGGTAAAGTTACCATTTTGGAGATGTGAGGCTGTAGGCTGCATGAAGCAGACTCAGAAGCAGTAGCTGTAGGTTATATGAAACAGAGGCTGTAGGCTATATTAAGCAGAGAGTCTTGGTTGTATGAAGTAGATGCTGTAGGCTGGATGAAGCAGAAACAAAGGCTGTAGGCTGTATAAAACAGAGGCTGTAGGCCGTAAGAAACAGAAACAAAGGCTGTAGCTGTAGGCTGTATGAAGCAGAGACAGATGTTGTAGATGTAGCCTGTATGAAGCAGAAACAGAGGCTGTAGGCTGTATGAAGCAGAGACAGATGTTGTAGATGTAGGCTGTATGAAGCAGAAACAGAGGCTGTAGGCTGTATGAAGCAGAGATAGTTGTTGTAGATGTAGGCTATATGAAGCAGAAACAGAGGCTGTAGGCTATATGAAGCAGAAACAGAGATTGTAGCTGTAGGCTGTATGAAGCAGAATCAGAGGCTATAGGCTGTAGGCTATAGGTTGTAGGCTGTACAAAGCAGAAGCTGTAGGCTGTATGAAGCTGTGTCGGTGGCTCTTCCCCGTTATATCACACACTGTGCGCTCCATTAACTCCTGACAGGCTAAATGATGCACACACACCACGGCATGCCCTGCAGTTTATTATGGGTAGCAGTGCTTTATTAAACTCAGTGTTTAACTCAACATTCCTCCGCACAATACAGAGAACATTTCATAGCACTTACAGCTGCAGTGTCTGAGTGCTTTACCGAGTGCTTGATAGTGTATGTGTGTGTTGCATGTGTGTGTGGGGGGACCAAATGTATAATATATATACATACATATATCCACATAAAACACAGAATAGTACATAATACAGTGGGGGTCAGCTTTTCTTTCAAAAAGTAAAAGCCCATTGACTAAAGGGTTCTTTGTGGTTACTCTAGTTACATATGGGTGGAGCACAACAAGATTTAACTACAGGGATATAGATGTTATTGAATATATCTCACAGAGACAGCAGAGTGTAAAACATTAAGTAAAATCTGTTATATTCATAGTTTTGTCTCCAAGTGTCATGATATTATATTTTTGCCCACATACACACATGTGTATGTGTCTTTTTGGGGACCCAATTTCCCCAGTATGATGGAAAACATGGAAAATGGTAGATTGATACTATGGGGATATTTGGGTTGTTGTCATAAGGTAAAACTCAGTCAGTCTATCAAGGAGTTAGTGGAACTTTAATTGTCCCCAAGAGCAAGTGGTATCAGACAGGCATAATACATAAAATAATAATGCAATAAAAAAATCACAAAAATCATATAATTGTGTGGTGAAATTACAGAGAAATACAGCTTTTGTTTGAAAAAGTGAAGGTCCATCACTTTAAGGATTCTTTTTAAACTCTAAAGTTAAGGTCAGATTTAGGATTGTTGCAGTCATACAGACTTTAATCAAAATATCTCACATAGATAGGAATGCACAGTTGTGAGTGTGTGGAGAGAGAGTGAAAGCTTGATTGTGAAAGATTCTACACTACAGCTCATTACTAAGTCATGACGACTAGTGGAAGTATCAAGCTGTAATATAAATGTCAGCATGTGTGTAATTACTCGTGTGCAGCCTCTCTGCTTGTGTCTGAGTATATTACATGTGCTGTATATCTAAATTCCCTTTAAAAAACCAAAGGAGCAGCTCCCTCCCTCTTATCAGTGCTCCACCATCACACACATACACACGTTTTCACACCACCGCAGAGTGAGATGCTCAGGGCAGATTCGTTTTTCCTTCCTGCCTGATCCAATTTTCAGATTAGCATGCTAACACTATGTGATCATTTGCTGTCAGTCTATCAGTGAAGACCAAATCTAAATGGGAACGAACTGATTCAGTGTGATTTGTTTGCAGTGTAGATGTCAGTTTTAGGCAAATATCAGATACATGTCAGACATTTGAGGGAAAAAAATCTGATTCGATTGCTGAGTAAACAAAGCAGAAATGAAATGTTCTGAACAGGTTGAAGGCACTGAACTGCCCCTGCTGGCCATGTGCTGAATTACACCCAGCAGCTGATGCTGTTTATTACTGTTTCAGTTGAGTGATGATGGAAATGAAGAAAAGTGAGTCTCTCTTTCTCTCTCTCTGTCCCTCTCTCTCTTTCTCTGCCTTACAGTTATCCAGCTGTGTGCGAGTTCCTACAGAATAATAACTTGTTATCAGTCATCCGAGCACACGAAGCACAAGATGCAGGGTATGTATGCAGACACACACATGCACACTCTCAGTGCTCCCAGTGTTCATCCCTTCAGTCTCTGGTCATATCCATTTGAGGAATTCTCAATTCTCAACTCCCTTTCTCTTTCTCTCTCTCTCTCTCTCCTGTCACAGATACCGGATGTACAGGAAGAGTCAAACCACTGGCTTCCCCTCCCTAATCACCATCTTCTCCGCCCCAAACTATCTTGATGTTTACAATAACAAAGGTGGGCAAAAACCAGCAGTCCAGTCCCATGTAAATGCTAACATATAGATTCAGTGTGGGTTCATTATGGATTCATTCCTTCGTGTAGTAACACCATCAGGTCTGAATGATCGCACAGGCGTCAGTATTGACAGTTACCTGCAATGTGTTTAAGTGATGAATGTGTCTGAGAATGGGAAACAGATTAAATGAAAATTATATAATGTGTACAGTAGATGGAGGGAGACGGTGTGTGTTGATGGTTGGCTTCATAGTATAGATGTGTGTGTGTGTGTGTGTGTGTGTATGTGCACGTTATAGTGAGTAGAGCAGATGGGGGGATGTGTGTAAGTGTGTGTGTGGCAGAGGCTGTCAGTTTGACTGACTTCTTCCATGTGCCTTTATCACTCCTGATGGAACAGGGTCATCAGCTCGGAGCTCAGCAGGGCCATCTAGTGGACATTTCATAGAATATGCATAAAAATACGTGCACATATAAAAGCATGTAGAGCTAGTCCTGGAGATCTACCTTCCTGCAGACTTCAGTTCTAGAAATGCTTGGTTTACTCTTGCCTTTGTGCATTTGGCAGACACTCGTATATAGAGTGGCTTCAAATTTGATCCAATTACAGAGATTGGTGAATGTAGTGTAAGGAGTCTTGCCCAAGGACCTTTGTTGGTATAGCATGCCGTGCTTGCCCCACATGAGGAATTTAACCCAAATCAGCAATATGGAGAGCCGCAGTTTTACCCACTATACCCACCACACACTGAATGGATGTTTTAGTGAGCACGCAGCATTGAACCAAAGAAATGTTGAACCACAAGCAGTTGATATAGTGTCTCTTGTTTAAATGGGCGAAATATGCTTGGGTGGCTGTCCATTTACTTTGGAGGACCACACAAGTATAGCTTATGTGTGGGAATCACTAAATTCCCTTATAGAAACAACAAAAAGATGTAGATTAAAATACACAGTGCTACAGTGACAATAGAAAAAAATACTATGTTCTTATACTAAATAATACTAGTTTTTTAGTTTATTTACTTTTATCAGGAATCACCAAATCACATTTCAGCAGAACATTTTGCATAATATACTTTCCAGCAATTCCTACTCACTGGAACTTTAATAGGACTTTTCGAAAAGTGTAACTGTGGCCCAAATTGTCTGATGGGCCATTAATTGGGGGACCTTTTTCCAATAGTCTTGCTTTCATTCCTCTCCATCGGAAAGGGGGTTGCGTTTTGCTTGTGTTGTCCACACTAAAAATAGTCCATGTTTGAAGCTGAAGTGACTTTCAGAAGAATGGGGCACAAGTCAGGGCAGAAGGCTGACAGAATGGGAATTCCTGCAGTCAGTCTGCAGTCACCAGTGCTGACGTGTTTACTGCTAAGATCAAACAGTAAAGTCAAAGAATAGCAAACAATGGCCAAAGGTCAAAGTTGTGCTGTGCAGCATGACGCTTTAAAACTGGGAGGACTGAAAAAGCATGCATATTTTTAAACTGTTCTAATACAAACACTCACTAATGGCTTACCAGCTATTTTATGATGCCAACCAACCTTCTAGATCCACTATATACTGTTGTACACAAATGTTTGGGCACCCTGGTCAAATGATATGTTTTATTGATTTCCTAAGTAAAAATAAGTTACACATCCTCTACAGAGAACACACTTATGCACACTTTAATGCATAATAACTGTGTATTTCCTGAATGTAATATACTGGGAAAAGAAATTAAACATAAAACGTGACCTGTGCAAAAGTTATGGCACATACATTTGAATAAAATGTTTGTGTACATTTTATTTTTTCGAATAGGTTAAACTCAGCAAATAAACAGTAGGGGTACAATAAAGTTTCCAGAAAATGCCATGTTTAAGTTTGTTCGCTGTGGAGGATGCGTTATTTCATTTTACATGCCCTATTTTCACATGGAACATCAAGAAAACGTAATTTAAACAGGGGTATTCAATTTTTTGCATACTACAGATCATAACCTCTCTAATTTCATGTACAATTTGTCAGCCACTCTCTACTCTATTTATCAGTGGTCAGTTTCTGACTACAGGACCAATGTTGGCCAGGTAAAGTTTATACGTCAGGTAGCAGTGACATTGACATGGTAGTGGCAAGTTACACACAAGTTATTTGTATAAGGGTGTATAAGGCACAGTGTTTGACACAGCAAGGTTAAAAGTGGCCCGCATCCCACTATGTAGCTAAAAGTGTTTTTGTGGACACTGTCCACCGATGAAGGGCTGGAGGACTGCTTCTACAAATTGTGCATGGCAGCCGATTGGGCTGCAGTCTCAACCTGCATGATAAGGTATATAATGTTATATATATGAGTGCCGGGATAGGCTCCAGCAACCCCCACGACCCAGGAGGATAAGCAGCTTAGAAAATGTGTGTGTGTGTGTGTGTGTGTGTGTGTGTGCAATATATTGATCCTTTGTAACTTAGTACTGTCACAGTCACATTTATGTGGAAAAGTTCAACCGCTTGTCAACGATCGATCAGAAAGTGAATCAAGCAGCTCTGGACATTATGCACTATGGAGATCATTTTTCTCTCTTCATTGATTAGATAATGAGGGAATGCTGAAGCTTACTAAATGTAATGGGGTGTGCGTGTGCGTTTCTGTGTGTTCTCACTTCAGCGGCTGTCTTGAAGTATGAGAACAATGTGATGAACATTCGACAGTTTAACTGCTCCCCCCATCCCTACTGGCTGCCAAACTTCATGGACGTGTTCACCTGGTCTCTGCCCTTTGTAGGAGAGAAAGGTAGACTTCTGATCATTTCAACAGCATATACACAGAAATCATATTCATTAAAGCCAAGACATGTTAGGTGTCCAATTTTTTGCTTCTTTAGTTTTGAAATGCAACTATGAGGCTAACGTAACTCACAAACACTAGAAGTAAATAGCAACTCAATTATGTTCCGTAAAAACAGCAGCAAAACCTTTCTCAACCCACTTTTAATGTCTTCGTTAAGGGTGCATAGACTTGTTGGTATGGTTTAGAGCACAGTGTGACTTACTGTAAACTATAAAAATGAAAACAACAATAAAAACTCACTGTGTATAGCTGAACGCAGTGATAAGTACTGTGACCTAAACAACACTGACAATGCTACTGAAAAAACAGTTTAGATCTATGAATTTCATGCTGGTCTAGATAGTCATTGTGCTGTTTTTGGTGGTGATGAGCATAACAGCTTTATTAAACGTAGGTCCAGTCCCATTTCTTATTTTTATCCCTACCCCTTGTTGTCAAGTGTCACCTTGCCCCTTGGAACTGAGACAGAAGGGGTAGTGATTGAAATCTTTCCCTACGAAATGGGACAACCCTCAAATAAAGAAGAACATTACTTCATTAACAGGCTACTAGCGCTGCTCTGTAGGCGACCCTGCCAGTCTGCAGTGATAGCAGAGGAGGATAAAGTTCAGCAACCTCACTGTTGGTCTTTAGTTACATTTAGGGCATCATATACCATCAAAGAGGGGGGGTATGCGACAATTATTTATTATCATCCACCCCTAATTCTTTGGTGAAACTAAGTTAATACAATAGTTATCGTAATTATTTAATGGAGAAAATACTCACATTTTTGGGTTTCTTTGGTTGCTCGCGCAGCCATATTGCCAGTTTTTCTTTTTTCTCATAACACTCTTTTTGGGGTGTGCCTCTGAAAAACTGCTGTTTGTAGGGCCATGTAGCCCTAACACTTCACCTTACTACTCTATCTCAACCAAAATCGGGACACCCTACCTCTAGGCCTAAACGCGTAAAATGGAGGTAGGCCTTAGTTCCAGCACTAAAGAGGCCAAATTTGGATACCAAACATATCTTGGCTGATCAACTATATCTGGGGTAAGTGGACATATTTTAGCAGTGTAGCATTAGCAAAATGGGAAAATTGTATAAATTAGATTTCTTTACCAAATTATCACCTTGAGATGCATGTCCTGCAGCAGTCACATGTATGACTCCTGGTCTAATAGCCCATCCTCTTTCCCCTGCAGTCACAGAGATGCTAGTGAATGTGTTGAGCATCTGCTCTGATGATGAGCTGATGAACGATGGAGACGAGATCTTTGATGGTAAGAGGTCTTCTTTGAATTATTGTGTTTACAGCCTTCATCTTCTTATCCACACAGGAGCTGAATTCAGAACATTCCACGCAAAACACGACAAGAACTAAAAGCTGAGATGGTTCCTAAAATATCTCATGTTGTTCTTGCTCCCTGGAAGCCTTGCATTTAAGTGCTATTGACTGTAGAAGATTCTCCCTGTGGCAATGCAGTCTCAGCCTGTACTCTCATGTCCACCCACAGCCAACGCAGCAGCTGCTCGGAAAGAGGTGATTAGGAACAAGATCCGTGCCATTGGGAAGATGGCCAAGATGTTCTCTGTGCTAAGGTATGAGAGGGACTTCCACAGGCTGAGTCATTTCTGTCTGCTTATCTGTGTCAGCTGCTTATAAAACACCATGCAAATATGAGATAGAGACTTCTGGAGACTAAAGAGTGTTTGTGTGTGTGCTTTTGTATAAATATTCAATGGCACCAAAAAGTGTTCATGCCATACTTAATAATGCGTTAACCCTTTTTCACAGTAGCCATAAAATATCATTTGTGCCTGTTTTGGAAGTTCTTCCGTTTTTGCGCTATGCATTTTTCTGTCAATAACACTAAATGAATTTTGATGGAAATTTGTATGATTTACAAAATGGGAGTTGAGCAAGCAAGACAACATTTGTAGAAGTGAATTGTTTTCACAGCAGGGAGTTGTTCCACTTTCATCCCCAGTGCTCACTAGCAGCTCAACATTTGACACACACACACACACACACACACACACACACACACACACACAGCTAATAGTGACACTCTCAGAAACTGTATGAAACTTTCACTGGGGCAGTACCCCTCTTGTCACTGTTGTGGTACATCTCAGTACCTTTATTCAGGGAACATAATTGTACCATAATCCATTGAAATTTATATATATATATATATATATATATATATATATATATATATATATATATATATATATATATATATATATATATAATATAATATTATATATAATTATATAAGTTGTATTGACTCCACACACCCCGTCTCATCTCCAGGCTTTTTATTTTATTGCTCTGTTTTAAAACTTTAGGTTATGAAAAGGTTCAAATACATACTTTTTACCTGGAAAAAAATTATTTAAGGTTCACAGTTGGACCCTAAAACCACTGTTTTACCTTTGAGAGAACATTTAAATTGTTTGTACATTGATGAATGACAAATGTACCTGCACAGAACTTTATTTCAAACACTGTAGTCAATCTGAAAACAGAGTAATGGGGAAAAATATTTTGTTTCATTATATTAACTAAATAAATTTAAGTTGGTTTCCATTCCACCAGCAGGATGGCTGCAACGGGCCTACAGAAAGAGGTTAAGTTAATTTTGTTTGGAAACAAACGTCAAATCAAATGGCTTTTATTGTTAAACAGGCCAACGCAAGACTGTAACTTTATTTTTGACTATTCGTTATCGTTTGAGCAATTTCTTCGCAGACTTCTTCAGATTTGCATCCAAAATGCCTTTATACACTTCTGAGTTCATGATCCCATTAATGAACTCAAGCTCACCAACACTATTGTTATATAAAGAGCCCCAGACTTTAACGTTTCCATCTCCGTACCCATAAGCCAGGCCTACACTGCAGAGTGTTTAGCTCGATTTTAACCCTGATTTTAACCACAATTGGCCTTCTTCCCATAAATGTTCACAATCTGAAGCGATTTCCAGGTGGGGAGCTCTGTTGGAAATGACAGCAAGAATAATCTGGTGATGAAAAAGGAAATGAGTCAGTCTTCTGATCTAGCACCAGAGTGAAGCTCTGTTTGAATTATGTGATAATGGGGGCCATATGGAGTTTGGAGTGCTTTATGTAGCTGAAACTCGTTATGTGTGTTATACCCTCTCACTGCCTTATCATCTAGTGTGCTTGCCCTCACAACAAAAAGAAACTCTGTAATAGAGGCATTAAGTGTGTGATGCTCTCCATTTTCTAAATCTGTTAGGACTTTAAAAGCTTTGGTGCAGTGTGGTCAGCACTCTTCTACTGATTTTCTCCACACAAGTGTCAGTTTGGTGTTGTACTACAAGTGTTTTTCTCTGAAACAGTTTTCATTTTGTTAAACATTTCATGAAGTAGCCAATGGTTAAACAGTTAAAGTGTCCAAATACTTTTGGGTCCACTGTGCATGTGTGTCTTACCTATAGTTCTGCCAATCAGCTATATATTTCCCCCATGTTTAACCGAAATGTAGCTTTTCTGACACTCCTTGTGACTTGTGGCTCATTTTATTCCACTGCAAAAACCCTCATCCTCCCTCCCACACTCCTGAATACAGCGTACCCTTTTTTCATGAAATTAAAAAAAGACCAAATTTTCCCTCTGTGGCTCTGACTGGAAATTCACCAAAATATGGCAGAGCATATAAACACCATCCAGCTTGATTTTTCTTCCACTGACTGAGTGCTCTCCTGCATTGCTACTTTACTTGTGTAGGCGCTAATGTTGGCCTCACTTCCTCACACAGTCTGTGCCAGTTATGTAGGTACCGGGCCTCAGAATTATCCATCAGTCTCATAAATCAATAAATGTCTTATGCAATCAGTCTCACCAATTTAATTAAACCAGATTTGTAATTTTAATTAGCAATCAAAAGTAAATTTATAACATTTATTGAATGGGACTGATGGAGATTACACAACACCAACATGAAACTGGTACCCACATATCGGGGCCAAACATATGAGATAACAGCCAGCAATTATAGTATACATAACTGGTGTCCCCTGAGAGGAAACTCATCTTTGTCCTGTAGTACTTATACTTGTCAGTAGCGCATATGGGTTCTTTGTTTTTATTTTCTCTTTTTTTTCGTACTGAGATGCCAGTCCATCTCACTTCATATGCTGCCATTTGCTCGATGTGAGTCTTGTCTTTTGTTTTGTAGCTCACTGTGTCAAACTTTGTTAATCATCTGAAAACATATATGTACACATTTTATTTTTTATACAGAGAGGAGAGTGAGAATGTGTTGACCCTGAAGGGCCTGACTCCTACCGGCATGCTGCCCAGTGGAGTGCTGTCTGGGGGCAAGCAGACTCTACAGAGCGGTGAGCATAAAGACCCTCCACAGGGCCTTAGTCTACTCCTGTCTCTGACTACTTTCTTCTTTCTATGCTTTCTCTCTGTCCCTGTCTCTTCCACCTGTCTCTCCATCTGTCTCTCTTTGTATCCTCTGACAGACTCCAGGCTTTGGGTGCTCCTCTCTCTGCAACACTACGTTGGGAGTTGCCCCAAAGACTGGACCGCAGTGGGTCAGTTTCCCCGTAGTGGGTAAACTGGGGTGAGGTGAAGTGAGGTGAGGCGAGCGAGAGTCTGTGCCCGTAGGGGCTATTGAAATGGACAGACCAGTGTCCGGGAACTAGTATGTGTGCGCCTGAGGGGTTGACTGGCTCTGTGGTCCATAGTCTGGTTGGCGTGCATGCGTCTGCGCAGGGTCGTCCGCGCACCGCTCGTTGCACCACTGCTGCCTGTGCCTTTTTGCCGTTGCATGGCTTGTTCAAGTGTAACCCACTCCCCTCCTCTCCCCCCCAGCCACCATCGAGGCCATCGAAGCCATCGAGACTGAAGCAAGTGACGGCGAAGGTAAATCCAGGACATGCATCTTGGCCTTAGCCTCCATCAGCTGTTGACAAGCCATGATCAGCCAACATTCACTAACAGTTCACACAGGGAAAGGGCTGTGTAGAGTGGTGGTTTCCAGGACTGGTCCTGAAGTGCTATTATCCTGCATAATTTAGTGTTGTTTCTTGCTTTGACACACACCTGATCCTAGCCCTTCTTCAGTGAAGTGGGTCTGTTAAAGCAGGGAAAAGGGAAAACACTAAAATGTGCAGGGCAGGGGTATTCTAGGACTAGGATTGGTACCTACCAGTGTAGAAGGAACACTTAGAGGTGCAATACACTGACCTCTGAGAAAGGGCAAAGAAGATATCTGGGAACTGCATTAAACTCAATAGCACTCAGAAAGGTGAAATGGACATTTCAGTTGTTTCACGGGTAATGTTTTTGGAGTAGATATGTATCTCATTTATTGTAAGTACCTTTTACTTTTGGTGTACTTGAAGTGAAAAAAGTATATGTGTTCCTCAGGCTATATTTGCTTATATTGTGATCCAAAAGTACTGAACTTTCTTCTTTCATTGTAATTTATTCTTTTCTATAAAGCAGCGAATTGCAGCCATAGTTCAGCACAGATGGGTGATTTCCTTGCTCAAGCATACATGATTCAGCTCAGTTAGTTAGCTCAATTCAGTTAGTTATCAGGTTTAGTGGTTGTGTTAGAGCAAAGAAATCACCACTCTGTGCTAGACCAGGACCTGCTAGACACCTCTGCAGTAAAGAAATTTTAGGTCTACCAGATACTTACATTGCCCTCTCTCAGCGATAACAGCAAGGGAACATCTCTGTGAAGAATGCATGATGGTTTGAGATGGCGTCTGACACAAAGGCATGATTGAGTTGGTTTGTTGAGTTCTGCATTTTCTCTGCCTCTCTTAAGACGTCTATGGGCATAGCATGTGGTAATTGGAACTCTGAGGAACTCCCAGCCAACCAGAGTGTGTTAGCCTCTTCCACAACCTCTCATGCTCCAAAACAGGCACACCTCAGTGGCTCATACATAAAAAATGTGCTACAGTAAAGGGAATTGGGTGTTACTTCCTCTCCAATCCTATGTCCATTGATACAAGCACAAAAGGAAAAGCCTGGTATTTTAATATAGATGATAGAGGTAAATGGTTCTGCTAGCACTTTATTTTAATGGTCCTCTGTATATGCTTTGTACACGCGTAGTCTGTCTTTAACTAACATTCAACAAAATATCTAATTATCAAAAAAGTTTCAAGTGTGATAGATTCTATTAAATCTAAACCTAACCTCATGTCTAAACCTGCTCCTACTCGTAAACCTACTTCTTACTATAATGTTTTGGATAATTAACTTCAGAAATCTTGTTAATAATCTAAGTATCTCTAGATCATGTACAGGGGACTATCAAAATAAAGCGTGATCATGGTTTTAATAATACTCTGAGTAAAGGACTTTTAAAGCTGCATTCTTTTCTGTTTTAATAGTTTGAAGTTATGTTCACAACTTTGTCTCGTGGCATATAAACAAACTTGATTCAAGTAAATTAGCCAAGAACCCAGAGCAGAGCAATAGGAATGCATTTTTACAGTTATTAGCAGCCGTTTTGTATATAGAGTGGAGTACAAAAACATGAGTGAGGAAACACTTTTGTGCTTCTGATGTTTGCTTATGAATTATCTGCTAGATTAATTCATGAGTCCTACAGTACTTGATATTGGCCTTACATTTTACACTTGGGACATTCATTTATTCTCCATTAAACCACTTCAGTGTTTTTAAAAAATCACAACATCCAAACATAGGAGGAAAAGCATCACAGGTTAGGGAAAGAGATAGAGGAACTGTTTTGATTTAATTGCATGTAGGGGATAGTATTTCAAATTCCACAGAATGCAGCTTTAAAATGATGTTTACAGGAGTGCTGCTGCTCATTGTTGTGTGTGCCGTCCCTCTCCACAGCCATTCGCGGCTTTTCTCCACAGCACAAGATCAGCAGCTTCGAGGAGGCTAAGGGCCTAGACCGCATCAATGAGCGCATGCCTCCCCGTAAAGATGGGGTGAACCACGTGGGCCACTCCATGGGAAAAATGAACATGTCCGAGGCCAACGGCACTGATGATAACAGCAACATCCAGTGATGCAGCGGCCGCCTGCCTGCCCACACCCAAGTCCATGCGACTGCTGCAGCATGTGGCAGGATATCGCCAAACCCGTAATTTAAGGCCTCCCGATACCAACAAAACCCCCAGCAACATAACACTGCATATGCATCCACCTCTGCTCCAATATCCAATTAGACAAGAAAACTTCTCCAAGTTCAAATCTTTCGCAGAAGTGGGTGGAAGGCAATCTCTTTTTTTGCTGCCAGTTTACTGTACGTGAGTTTCTTGAAGTTCTGCCACTGTTCAGGTGTGTTTAGAAGGCTACGAAAGGATGGGGGTGGATTTTTTTCCCAGATTTGGGGGAGGGGGGTTGATGTTAACCAATGGCTGAAAGTGTCTTTCTCAGAGGGGGGGGCAGTTCCTATGGCTGTTCTGCCAATTACTTTCTGACTCCACCCATACACCAAAGTGGGCGGGGTCTAGGGATTAGAACTCTCTCCTAAACCTGATCCATCGCAGCTCATCGGTGGGGGTGGCCAGCCAGTACCAATGCCACGCACACGTCTTAATATTTTGATTACCAGTTTTCTTCATGAGCCCATCTCATAATGAAATTATCTCACTGTTGAAACATGTTTTGCTACTAGTATTAATGAATACAAAAATTGAAATGACAAAAAAAAAAACGAAATGTTTGTAAGAAAGGACATTTAAAGAGAAAAAATATGTACATTTTATTACTTGCAATGCAATCTTACCCGAGTATTTTTATTTATTGATTTCTTTTTTTGGTAAGATGCCATAAAGCCGGGTGGGTGGGTGGGTGGGTGGGTTTGTGGGGGTGCTTGCGCTTGTTGGCTGTGGACTCATGAACCCCACCATCTGTTTGCGTGGAGGAAGCACTGAGGATTTTGGGGCTGCAGTAGGAGCTTGGGGTCGACCTTTGGCACCACCTACCTGATTGTTTCTCACCTGCCTGTAACTTGAGAGAGAATGCACATAGTATGTTTCGCAAGTCAAATAAATCTATATATATATAAATATATATATAAATATATGATTAATACCGATGAAGGACAATATCAAGGACAACGATTTTTAACAGCATCTATGGTACGGAACGCATCAGTGCATGCAATTAAGTTCCTTATTGATATGTGAAATTATAATTGTGATGTGTTTCAATATAGTAGATTTGAATTATTTCCCTCTTCAGATTATATTTGTAAAGTTTAACTTTGTTTTTTTATATCTATATACAGTATATATATGATTTTGTAATCTTTTCTTCTGTCTTTGTTTTTTTTTTTTCTCTTCTGTTTTCTTTTTCATCGACATTATTTTGTTATGGTTGATTTTATTTTTGTATTGTTTTGCTGTACAGGCACTGGCGCTCTTTTTGAGGTGTGAAGCCTTGTGTTTTTCCTTTTCCTTTTTCCTGTTTTTCCTGTTCAGTTGGTGTACAGAAGTTGTTCAATAGTGTGAATGAACATATTACTCAGTGAAAAGCAAAATTCAGGCTGCCAAAGCATGATCGCATGGTTTATTCAAATGTAAACAAATTGGACACAATGAAAATCCTGTGTCTCACTTTGAAAAGGAAAAAATATATTCTCCTTATAATTCTTGATGATATTCTTCTTATTCTTACAATTAAGCTTACAGTTCTTTTTTTCTCCACTGTTTTCTGATCCTTGTTTGGTCCAGACGTGGTTTATTTCAGAGAAGGAGTTTAATGGATTTTAACTTGTGACTATTTTTTCTTGTAATTTTCTCTTGAACTGAGTTTCGCATTTGACTTCCTAAATGATAACACACATTGTAAGCATGCCCTATGGGACAAATCACTTTTTTTACTCTTGAATAAAATATGCATGAACTATAGAGTCTGACTCTTCTTCTGTCCATGTGCTACACTCAGCTGCACTCTTTAAAAATAAAGATACTGGAAAGTGTTGCCATAAGGAGAAGCCCTTTTTTCACAGTAGCAATAAAAAGCAATTTCTGTATATTTTGGAGGTGGTCCAAAGAATATGGACGCTGTCCAAAGAAAAACATGTACTTCCATTTTTGTCGATTTTTATTTTTCTAGGTCATTTGAAAATTTCATGATGATTGGGCCAATAGAAATGCCCCAAAATCAATTAGAATGAAATCTCTTTACGTTAGCTTACATTAAAAATTAAGGGCTTTTTTCCTTCTCCTGTAAAGTTATCATTTTGTGTGTGTGTGTATATATATATATATATATATATATATATATATATATACACGTTAACATATATGTACATTAACATTTGTATGCATGACTTACAAAACCTGAAGTGAAGTTTTCTGTGTTCAAAATACACAATATCTCATCTCAAGTTCTCACTCTTCCACTTTCAACATTCATTGCTCACTAGCAGCTCAACAGAGGCATAATAGTATTCTAGTTAATGAAGTAGTTAATGGAAATTATTTTGTTAATTAAATATATTCAACTCAATTTCCATCAGCATGGCCACTAGGGGGCCTGCAGAATGCTTGCACATAATGTAAAGGCTCTAAACCAGGGGTCACCAATCTTATCCACAACCACACTGGCCCTTTGTGGGCAAGATTGCTGACACCTGCTCTATACCAAGTAAAAGTTTTCCTGGAACTGTATGTTTAGGCTAAGAATTATTTAAGATGTTTAGCTTTGAGAGGACATTTCATTGCTCTTTGATGGTTCAGGATACTTCATGGTGATTCTCCTAAAATTCCCTAAGAAAAATAGCTCAAAAGGACAAAAAGAGGACATGAGATACTTCTAGTGCAGATAATAATGATACATGTATTAGTTATTCACAGCATCTAAACTGAGAAGGTTCCCAGTCTTGGGGGACAAATGGTCAGTTTGTCTTGAAATTTCTGTCTTTAGTTTAATTACTAATTAACATGAGTGTTATTATGTCAGCAAATCTGAGTACAATGTGTGACTTTGTTGAGATTCCTACTAAAACTTAAACGGAGACGTGAGTTACTGGGGTCTTTTGCTCAGCATAAATATCCGAGCAGAAGGAGACTGAAGCAAAAGTCTCCCTTGTGTTGCCATCTGATCTCATTATTGTCTAGGAGAAACTGCAGAGATAATAAGGGGATCTCATTTTTATGTATCTTTTCTCTGGGTATAGCTCGATAGCAATGCTAAACATTGGCCTTTCTGTATCAATGATGTCCTAAAAGGCTGCAGGCCAGATGTACTGTAATTTGGCAGAAAAGGCCATTTACATTGGACTGCCGGTGGGAGTCTAGAGGGAATCCCACTACAGTGCAGGGTTTGTGTAGTTGTGCGTATTTTGGTAAAGCCATTACACTGTTTTTCATCAGAACTCTTCCCTCCCGGCCAGCCTGCGGCCCAAACACTCAGCCAGTGAGGGTTGATTTTCCATGAGAGAACTGCATCTGTTTCCTTCCATTCTTCCACAGGAAACTCTGGAACACCGTCAGGGGCTACAGCAACCTCTCTAAAACCAGGAGTGAGCACTCACTGGTCCAGCACACACACTTAATCACCAGGAAACAACTATACTACATGCTGTCTCATTGTACCATCAGCTCAGGAAACAGCTTCTCAAGCTCCTCACTCTGCTCCAGACTCATTCACATATACACACTTCAGTGCTTATCTCTTCTGTCTTTTTTCTTTTCTTATACATCTGTGCTTGGTGACCTCTATTAGTAGCCATCAGCCTTTTACGTACCAAACCTCTCTGGATTAGAGCCATGGATCTGCTATTATGTTCTTTTATTGTGTTCTGTGTGTCTCTCTCCTTTATCTCAGCAGGTAAGTCTGAAGAACGACTATTCACAGAAACTCATTACTTGCCTGGTGTCAGGAGATGCTGTAGTTACGCTCAAAGGAAAAATGAATGTGCTACTTGTAAAGATTATATGCTCTTTACATAACAGCCTCACTAGTCTCAGGAAGAAGAGTTACAGTAGGGAGCTAGTTCTCCATATTCTAAATTCATTCACAAATGATTCTCAGTGAGAAATATAACAAATACACAGCCTCCAGATCTGTGAGTTGTTTTATGAGCAACGTTTCAACAACTGCCATTGTTAAGCTGTGATAATGAAATACATACAATTGAGAATGCATTTTTGTGAGCACATCCTGGTTGGGATGTCATGGCCAGCACCCTAGAAGCAAAAAAGGAATACTCTGATTTTCCTTGATTTGAATGTACATGTATATAAACTTATTGGCAAAATTGTGTTGAGTGAGCCTTCTGGTTTTTCTTAAAAGGTCACCCATATCAGTGACCAGTATTTGAACTAGCAACTGATAAGAAGGAGGCCAAACCTATATCACTAATATTTTCCTTATGCTCTATATATGTATGTTTAACAGATGTTGTTGCTGTCCAAAAACAATTACAACTTTTGTTGATTTTTATTTTTCTACATCATTTGAGCACTATGAATATTTCACTATGACAGGACCAACTGAAATGCTCCAACATTGATTAAAATAAAATCTCTTTACAATAACTTACATTAACAGAAGTTTTTGTTCTCTCCTATAAAGTTATAACTTTGGAGATACTCGTTTTTCTTTGAACAGCAACGATATGCAGAACATATGTGGTTGGTTGCTACTGTACATACATATATATATATATATATATATATATATATATATATATATGTTTGTGTGTGTGAAAAGCCTTCACATGGTATATGGTGTGAACATGTGAACAATACAAATGGCCCACAGGCAACAGCATATCACTGTCCACCACTACAGATTTGTATTATTATTATTTGCAACACTGTCTTCAAATTCCATGCTGCAGATTTAATATGACACAAAGAATACAATTCATACAATTAATACAGTTGAATTTATTCACACATATACCTGTATATATATATATATATATATATATATATATATATATATATATATATATATATATATATGTTTATGTGTCATGTGGACAATACAAATGGCCCAAAATAACATGAAATAAAATCTTTCTGTTACATTAGCGTATGTTTTTCCTTCTCTTAAACTATCAGTTTAAGGAAACAAGTTTATGCTACGATGGCACTGACATGAATTTATGTATTGATTCTAAGTGCTGTGCTTTTTTCACAGCAACTCCCTCTGTCCAAACCACCCAGCATGCGACCACAGTAATGACCAGCACCACCTCGATAAAATATGCCTCACCTACAGCAAACTTCATTTCAACTCAGTATACTGGTAATCCATCAGAAAATATCTTTTTACATGAATAAATCTGCTAACAAACTTCTATAATAATATGTGGGACAGTGTCTTTTAACCTCTTTACACATCCTTTAAGCAGTTGATCTATTTCTTTGGGGGCTAAGCTTCATTCTAACAATGTTAATCCTTCTGAATTTAAAATCAGGCAGGGTTGATGTATTCATTATGATCTAATTATTTAGTGTTTGTTGTATATCATCACTGCCATTTGCAAATAGAGGATACCATTTATATTTGGTGAACATCTCATGATGAACTGACTAACAGAAATGATTCAAAATGACCTCCAATAAAATCTCATTACAGTTACTTACATTAAGGTCATGACCATTTTGTCCTTCAACTGCAAAGTTACAATTTAAGAGATATGAGGTTTTGTTACAACAGTGACAATATGCTGTATATGTGGAATATTAAAATTGTGTTTTGTGTACTTTTTGAAGGCCTTGTCAAATTGGGCGAGTACTGCTTAGAAATTATATTATAATAAGTTACTTTGCATTTCACTTCCAGAAGGCAGTAGTAATTCAAGTGGCTTCAATGTTACCTCTCCTCCCAGCTCAGCAGGTAAGGGTAGCATTTGTATTCACATCTGTGAAACGATTCTATGAAAATGAAGATGATTCAGTTAATGCTGCAGGTGGAAAACAGTGGCCTAACCTAATTACCACACAAATGCTAAAACCCTAAGTCAACACTTCATATTCTAATGAGGCTTTAATTCGGAAAGTGGGACAACACTATGTAACAAATGACTCATAAGGAAGACCCATACTAATTATTCAAACATGACTCATACAGTTTATGAAACAATGCCTTACAGTAACCAGTGTGAGTACTGAGCAGAGAGGATGTTATGAAAATAATGTGCGTTGCAGGACAAACCAAGCTGGTCAGCCCAACATCTGCCGGGTTTACATCTCACATGAGTTCCAACATGGGCCAAATCACCTCTTCCCCTGCAGCTGTCCAGTCAGGTTTGACACCCATTTACACTTCACAGTGATCACATTGTTAAACCCCATGAACATCCTCAAATCTAGCATGAGTTTCTGACTCATTGGGTGCATTTTCATAGACCACTCCCATTAAGATAGAATCGCTTGAAGTGTATCACTATGTACACTTTTAAAAATAATGTTTTTTAAATGATTCTTGGCTTGGATGCACGGTTCTAGGAAAACCTCTAATCGGCATAGATCATGTGGAGATTCTTTAAACTTTTAAGGTCGCTTATCCTACATTTATCATGTACTTGTGTGTATTTTTTCTCCCTGAGGTGCACTTATATCATTTGTGTGGTTTTGTGAACCAAAACCAATTACAATTCTTTTTTTCATGAGCATTTTCCAATTTTACTTTATTTATAACTAGTTTTGTTACTGTGCCTTTAAGACTGAGACATGTAAATATGGCTCTGATCTGATTGGCTGTCCTGTTTCATACCTGTTCAAAAGCCAGTCCAGGCTGAAACTTTCTTTATAATGTCAATGTGAATGGGCAGGGCTAAACTGCTTTAGGCTAAATAGCCAGATACATGCAAATATGTTGGTTTTCATGACATAAGGAGTAAGAATTAGGTCGTAAATAGCACGCAATTAACAATGTTTACATTCTACATGAAACTCATATTTTTCAAAATATTACATTTTTTGCACTATGGGTACCTTTAAAAACTTATATCTCATCTTATGATAAGTTGATATATCTATTTTTTCTCATGATGAAATTATTGTAAGATTATTATCATAAGATCATTTAACTCATTTCTAGACCCTTTTTAAGCTCGTTTAAAGTCATTTTGTATAGTAAAATGTTGTATTCTTTTGATAATGTTGCTTGTTTCAAGCAGTATTACTTATATAAGCAAATTGATCTTCCTTTTTTGTCTTGAAACAAGCAAAATTATCAGCCAATAGCATAAGACATAAAATGGCTTAAAACTAGTAAAAACATCTAGATGTAAGTTAAATATCTTATAAAGAGATATAAAAAGACATAATGACTAAAAACAGTGGTTTATAGCATCACCTGTTCGGCACCTTTATTTTTAAGAGTGCACATATTACTCAGCAGAATGGTACAATAATGACTAGCATTAGCACTAAGCATTAAAGAGTAAAAATGTCACACTTTATAGCTCTCAGCTTATACAGCTTTGTGGAGATTTATGCATGATCCCACAATTCTACACAGGAATGCCAAAGGTGTACTAAATGTTGAACCTGTCTAAATGAGTCATTGATAGCACATCAAAGTGCATTAAAATAGCAGGGGAAAAAACTGGGAATCAAATACTCTACACCTGGGGTGCACAACACTGTTCCTGGAGGGCTGGTGTCCAGTACAGCTTGGTGATTTACCTGCTCCAACACACCTGATTACACTTATCTGTTAATTGCCAGGTTAACTGGGTGTGTTTGAGTACTTAGCTGTTTCTATTTTTTTTTCTAGCTCATCTGTAATATTTTTCTCAATGTGCAGATCATGATCCTGGACCAGTGAACTTTACAAACAAGGAGGCCCCCACAGCAGCCCCACCTACACAGCCGCCAAGCAACAGCCTCACTATGTTAGCCTTTGGTAGGACACATATCAAACCTTCTCAGTAATTATGATATGTTTTGGCTGTTGCCTTCAAATTTGTGATAATCTTTCTGGCACCTCCTTGCAGGTGTGATGAGCTTCATTCTCATTCTGATCATCGTTATGGTGATCTTGGTAACAGCCGTTAATCTCAGAGGACGGTGTAATAACACAAAGGAAGAGGGTGAGATTCTGTGTTATATTGCTCTGTGTTATATATGCTCTCCCATAGCTTTAGTGTATTAATACTTTTGGTTTACCTTACAGGTGTTAAGGGCTATGACTCAGTGATATCAGAAAGGTATGAATTAAAACTCTATTTCTGACCATATAAGCAGGAGGATGAATAATCACATATGATATAAAACTCTTTTTGATTGGTCCAATATTCTCACAGCAACATGACCAGCACCGGAGAGAAAGAAAGCATCACACTGGTCTCCATAAGGACGATAAACACGGAGACTGGTAAGTAAAGATTTGCAAAAATGTACCCTCTTTAAAAAGATGGTTCTTCAAGAGTTCTTTAGTAAACACAATGGTTCTATATAGAACCATGAACACTCAAAGAACCATTTGCAACAAAGAAGGTTTTTCTATTGTTACAAGCTTTGTAACTGCACTAGAATGCCTTTTCAAAAAGGTTCAATATAGAACCACAAACATCATATTCTCCATCAACAGGAAGAACCATTTCACCATGCAAAGAATCTTTAAGCATGAGAATAGTTCTTTGAGTGTTCATGATTCCATATAGAACTACTGTCTTTACTAAAGAATACCTGAAGAACCAACTTCTTTAAGAGTGTAACTTTAATGGTGCAGGGCTCCTGCCAAGCATTTGAGGTCAACAGTAAGATCTTTCCTGCCTTCTTCTCATTTCACAGACTCAGATTCACCACAGATCTCCTCCGTCCGCAGTACAATACTGGACAATGAGGACCAAGAGCTCAGCAGAGATCTGCTCAGTATCAGAGCACAGTAAACACGCTCAGCTCTAATTCAGCACAGGGATGGAGCACAGCTGCCCCTTATGTCCCCTTTCAGAAACAGCAAACGATGGTATTAAAGGAACTGTTCAACAAAAAAATGTAATTGTCACAGTTTACCTCTTACCCCAAATGTAGTTGATCAGACAAGACTTGCTTTGTGTCCAAAGTTTGCTTGTTTAGTAACAGAAGTAGCACAAATATTACTAGACTTACATTACTTGTTAGCAGTGTGCGAAAGACCCTGCGGTATTCAGGAGTCCCATGTTACAGATGTTAGTCTATAAAGGACGAACCAGGTGAACCAGTCTGCTACAGCGCCACCCTGAGGCAGACTGTCTGCATCTCTAGTTGGTCAAGACTACCAAAGCCAGAAGCTTGTTAATTGTAGGTGAAGCAGGCTGAACAATGACAGCATATAATCATAAAAAGTTTATTTTCAGGATCGCCCAGAATTTTGATTTTAAAACATTCAGGCGGTCCAATAGGCCTGAATCCCCCCCACCCCCCACCCCCAGTCCCCCTGTATTTCACACCTTGCTTGTTAGGTACAATAGCTTTATAGCTCCAGTACAAAACTAAAGAAGCAGATATGTTCTGGCTGATTAACTATATTTGGGGTAAAGAGAAAACTGTGTAAATGTGATTTTTTTTTTTTTGCTAAACCAAGATGAAGCCTCAGTTCAACATTTTTAAGGTCTACATTCATCACTGGTCATTTGTCTCTCATATGTAAATATTTATTCACAATTAAAAATGATAAAGGATGAACAAATGACCAGTATATGTGTGATATAGTCATTTGAACATATCAGAAACCTTACACTTTTTGGAAAATCAGGCTCACGGCAGTATTAGCTTAAAAAAATTTAAAAAATGAAAAAATGAAAAAAATAATTTTCCTGGTTCATTTTAAAATAAGAGACAGAGTAGTAGAGAGTGGAAAGTATGCACCCAGACAGCAAGCATACATCGGCTCAGTGGCTTGCAAATGCACACAGCCTTTTACTTTAGAAAATAATCGAAGACAAATATTACAAACAACTGAGAGAGAAAAAAATAATGACCAGGCCTAATGTAAATTGATTTTATAGAAAATGCTGTTGCTGACACTGTGCTAGATTAAAATGATTTACTAAACTAATTTACAAGGAATAACTAAAGAAAGGAAGGAAGGAAAAATAAATACATTTTACTCTGAATGGAAAATGAGAGATGATAAGTGAAATTTTGTGTATTGCTCTAGTTAACCACCGGTGGACTGCCAGCTTTGCCATCAGCGGGCCAACAGTGGTCCACTATCCTCTTGCCATCCTATTCTCTCCCCATATTGTCCAGATATTGAAACTAAACTTTTTTTGTGCTGTGTTGTCACAAAATAATTGACATATGCCTTTTTAGCCTACAGCAGACCAGGTACACTTATTCACATTGGAGTCATACTGAGTGTTTCAGACCGGAGTGCTTTTTGAATGAAGCACAGTACAGACCAACCTCAGAGGTCATACATATATATATATATATATATATATATATATATATATATATATATATATATATATATATGTGTATATATATATATATGTATATGTATATACAATAAAACAATAAAATCTAGTTCCTGCTGAAAAAAAATCACTGAAACCATTAAAGGTTTCTGTTGGTTCCTAGGGGTGTCCAATGGTCCTACTAATGTTTTACGTGTTTTTCCTGATGGGCTGATCTCACAGTATAAAGGATTCTGATGATTTAACAGGTGTTCTGAGACTGATCCCAGATGCATTTGATGGTTTTCCTAATTGAATCTAAAGGTGTCCTACAGGAAACTAGTGGTCACTAATGAAGCCAATTCCCACCAGAAAGCAAAACCATCAGGTTTTAATCCTAATGGTTCTGATGTTGTTGTTCAGCAGGGGAATATGGGCCCTTTAAAACTGCGAGAGATTTTTATGATCAGTTCTTCCCTGCATGCTTGTCTTTTGTAAAGCCAGATCTGACATTCAAAGAAGTATTCACGCCACATTTTATTTGTGGTAGAAATGTGTTTTTTTGCCTGTCCACTCACTGTAACATAAATGTGAGCTCGACGCCGCTGAGACACGCCGTGAGGGCGCCATGTATGGCCAGTGTGATCTTCCCCCTGGATTTTGGTATTACCGCATTTCCGTTTCCCCTTAGCAATGGCGGCTGCTACTAATGTTTAGATGTTTCGTGTCTTGGTCTTCTGGTGCGTGTTTCTGTAAAGCTATGCGGGACGTTTTGTTTCAGACATGCTGTTTCTGATGAATAAGTATTCGCGTACGATTGAACTGCGTCAATGGGACCAACATGCTGCTGAAAATCAGACACTAATCTGCTGATACACCTTTTTGTTATTAATTAGCAGTTAGCTTGCTAGCGTCTTCACGTACCGGTTTTGCTAGCCAGCCAAACCAGTCGGGTTAACTGAATATTCACAGCACGGCAAATCTGCGTATAATTTTAGGGTCAGATTTGCTGTCTACGTTTGAAATTTTAAACTGTTAAACTGTCGAAGTGCACATCATCTTCCGCAGTTTTTGGCAGACTGTCTCTGCAGCTGTCAGAAAGCCGTCAGCGCAGGTGTCAGTCCCGAGCAGTGGATCCGCTGTAAGAGATGCCGGGATTTGAAACGGACAAGGAGGAATCTGACCGATTGATAGAGAAAGCAAAGCTATGTCTACGGTCAGGACGGAAGGAGAAAGCTCTACAGATGCTGTACGAAGCACAGAAGATCTACCCCAGCACCCGAGCCAGAGGTCAGTAGCCTGTGATTTAGCCCCGCAGTAGGTTGGCAGAGCGAGGGCGCCTGCTGGCCGAGCCGAGCGCTGAAATAGAAAGTGCAGCGTCTGGATATTGGACGTTGCATAATCGGCGCTGTGGTGCGTTCTCGCTGTGTAGCCTTGTTTTCCCATTGCAAAACACTGGAGTCGTGAGTGTTTGGTCATTTGACAGCTTTTCGTACGTGTTCCACTGTACATTCCAGTCTCAATACATTTGCTGAACTGTTTTAAAATGTAGTTTAATGAGCTGAGTTCATATGTGAACACACAATGGCATTAACTGTTAGAGCTAAACTTTCCAAAAATTCCAAATGAAGAAATCCCTTCTAATTAATGAGTTCAGCTACTTTAAGGTGCAACCTTTGCTGACATAGGAGCTCAACTGAGCACACAGCTTTTGTAATCTTCAGAGAAAAGCATTGTCAGTAGGATGGGATGCTCTGGAGCAGCCACACATGGGCCTAAGGTCGTCAGTGCCAAGGCTGAAGGGGTATGAACTCCCCAGCACTGGGCTGTGGTGCAGAGGATCTGCATTGCCTGGAGTGATGGGTCACCTATGAGATGAGTTGGAGTGGTTTTTGAGTTCCATAATTAATCATCCAACATCACTACTTTACCTCACTAATGCTCTTATGGCTGAATGCAGTCAAAATCCTCACAGCTATGTTCCAAAGTCTAGCGTAAGATTCTCCCAGTTGTCTTAAAGGCTGTTTCTGCAGCAAACTCCCAAATTAATACCCTTGACTTAAAATAATGTTGGATAAGCAATTAAGCAATTGTCTACTAAGTTGTGGACATATTATGAACACATATTATGAATGTATAATGGATGTGTGCAAATGTGGAAAATGAACTCAGTCAGTTTGTCAGTGATAGCAAGTTGTCCCCATAAGGGAAGACAACAGACTGCGCTGCCATTTGAATCATCACTAATATCGTTAATAACAAATGAATCACTCATAGTTCTTCAGTCATTCAATCTGAAAAGCCTAATTGTGTGCTTCTCTGTAAACCTTCAGTTCTCATTGATGCCATTGTGAAAAATGGGAGCGCAGCAGCCCCTGAAACAGAGCGCACATACACTCCTCCGCCCGGCTGGAGGAATGACGAAGATGGCCCTGGCCAGCGGCATCACCAGCATCACAGTGCGGGAGAGGCGCGTGCGAGTGAGGGGCCCAGTGACGACAAAAAGAGCTATACTGAAGAGCAGAGACAGGGGGTCCTCAGGTACATGCATTCAGTTACCATTACTAATTAGACACTCCCACTGCAGTCTGTCTGTTTCATAGTTCACAGAATTAGCATGCCTTTATTTGATCCAGGCCTTTATGATGCAAGTTGTGTTTATTTCCATTTACCTAAGTGATCCAGATGTATTGGAAATCTTACACTGCTTCTGTCAGACAGATAAAGATAAGAGTAGCATTATAATTAAGCACATACATAGACACTATACACAGATACAGAGACTCTACACACACAGTATAATCACTGTTGTGGTGCATACAAAAATTGAGCTTTTAATTTAAAAGAATTGCATAATGTGATTGTCCCATGTGCAGTTCTGACCATTGTTCCATAGTAGAAAGTGACCAGCTTTTGTTTGTGCGTGCCTTTTTTCAGGCACTTTAAACAATATATGCACTCCTGTTTTTCTTCACGGTTGCACTGGTGGGATTGTTGTAAGTGTCCTTTCCTTTAATGTTTGCAGGATAAAGAGATGTAAGGACTTCTATGAAATTTTGGGAGTGCCGAAAGATGCCAATGATGAGGACTTGAAAAAGGCCTACCGAAAGCTTGCCCTGCGCTTTCATCCAGACAAGAACTTTGCTCCTGGGGCCACTGATGCATTCAAAGGTAGGCTTCTACATACAGCTGTGCTGCTTGTTGGCATAGAAAAGAAGATCATACTTTAAGGGGAATTCCACTGATATTTCAAACTTTCTGCATAATTAAATAATTAAAAGAGATTTTTAAAAAGGCACTCAGAATGGGTTGATATGAATTGTCCCATTCTAGAGAAACGTCAGAATTGAACCCAGTGCTGGTGATGGGAACCAGATGTTTGAAGTGTTTAATGTCTCTGAAACCTACCTCACAAAAAAGTTATTACATGGAATAGTTTTAAAAAGCTGCTTGTTGTCTGAAATATTTTACAGTTTTTAATCCATCAGAGGGGAACCATCAGGTCCTTCTATGCCTAATGATTCCTGTTAAGTAAAAACGAAATACATGTCTGTAACCTGTAGTTCAATTATATTTAATGTATTTATCATGTTATATATTTTCAGACAGATTATGAGTACAAATTTTTAGTACTGAGTCCGATACCATACTGAGTAACCTACCTAGAATTAAGTAGTTGTTGGTGTAAATCTAGAATGGCCAAGAAATGTTTATGTGAATCACCATTAGCATAGTGCTAACACACTACTAGAATCAGATAAGGGTGCTAACAGAAATTACCATTATCATAGAGGTGTTTTTTTTTTTGATCGAGTTTTGACATTCATGGTCCAAACTGTACACCTAGCTCTAATAATCTTGGTTGCCACTGAAATCCATTAATGGCCTAGCAGTACATGCAAGGCAAATTAGCACTCAAGGAAAATAATTTTTTTTGTAACTTTTTTCCATTTCCAGCACTACATTTAAAACTCAGAAGACACATCTAGGTTCACTGATCATTTTTGAAAGTAAATAAAATTGATATATTTGTGTTGTAGACATCACAACCTCTGGTTTCCATCACCAATATTGTAATGTAAATATGAGTCAGTAAGTTTGTCTAGAATGTGGCATTTCATATCAGACCACTCTGAATGACTTTGGTTACATCTTAACGATTGATTCATGCAGAAATGTTGAAAATTGGTTATATTCTCCTTTAATACTATGAAGAACAATACTCTGTTTGTTCTTCAGTGTGTTCTGCAGTGACATCTGGACTCAGTAATAAGACCATTCTAAATCCTGTTTTTTTTTTTTGGTCTAAGTTCTTCTGTGTGTGGCGGCCACCTACCCTTTTTTTTTCAGAAACACTCTGTGTGGTTCTTGCTGACACATGGTGGATTTGAGCTATAACCATACTTTAATTGGTTTATTTGGCCTTTTTTTTTGGTGATGGGTGGTGCAAGTGTCTGTTGTAACTTTGGATTTTTTACAGTTTCTCTTTACTACTTGAGTTGGCTTTTGTGGTGTAGTTTTAAATCTAACTTTCCTGCAATAACTGTCAAATATGCCTTATTTTCCTTCTTGGCAGCCATTGGTAATGCCTATGCAGTGCTGAGTAACCCAGAGAAGAGGCAGCAGTATGATCAGTATGGGGAACAGGGTGCCACTGAGCCAGCCAGTCACTCTTCAGCCCAGCCACGTCACACACACGGACACCATCGCACCTTCCACAGGGACTTTGAGGCTGATATCTCCCCTGAGGAGCTCTTTAATATCTTCTTTGGGGGCAGGTTCCCAACAGGTTAGTCCCAAGTTCCAAGTGCATTACCACTGGCAGTGAGGTACTTTCAGGTTGTTGAAGTAAAATAATATCTAAAACTTGAGGGCAGTTATATAAGCTACGATATGTAGCTTATGTATTGCAATCAGAAGTATGAAATAATGCTTGTTGAATGTCCTGTGCTTAATTGCAGGCAACATCCATGTGTACACCAACAGAGGAGCCTCTTATGCCCATGTATACCAGCCACGCAGACGTCGTGCATATGAGCGACGAGAAGAAGAGGTAGAAGACAACCGCAGCCAGGTCAGTTACTCTGTCTCTCATGTCTAGACCCTTTGACCCCATTCCTTGCTTATTAAAACCAGAAGCTGGCTTACACCAAGAATGACAAAGTTGATGAGATGAAAAATGTGTGACACTGTATGACCTCCTCATCTGTAAAAAAAAAGCTAAAATCAGTAAAAACTCAGCACTCCAGCAGTTAAGTCATTATTCAGCCAACCCACAAGTGTAGTATTTAATTTTTATAGGCCTATCAGAACTAAAATATTGTGGCAAAGTGGGTAAAATTTTCACTTATTCAAAATTCTTTCTTCAAGAACTTTCAAACGGTAGGTGAAAAAAGGTTAATGTGTACATTATCACAGTCAGCAACCAAGAAATTCAGCTTCCATTTGGTTTGCATCTGAAATTGATGTAGAACATGTTGATTTCTGTGATCTGTCACAACTGCTGTGAGGTGATACGCAACCATCTACAAATTTCATTGCTTCCATTGCAAGTGGCCATTGTTGGGGTCTAAGCACTACATGACTTGTGGTGCCAGTAGAAAACAAATGATGGGCAAAGCTTTTAGAATGGCCTTGATTTATAATAAATGTGAGGTCCCCAAAAGAGATGTCTTTCTGGTTTTGTACACAGTAACCTTTTGACATCACTAAGGTAGGCAACAGAAATTTAATAAATGAATCCAAATACCTAGAAGAGTACAGTGATTGGACATGACGTCTGTTTGCATAGTAGTTAAACTCAGTGAACTAAACAATTCCACAGCTAGAACACCTGTATTTCAGTCTTCGAGTGCCTCAGAACTGTTAAAATCATATTTTCTCAGGAATGATCCAATCAGACCCCGCAACAGGGGATTGGTTTCTGAACTTCTCACGTTTTCATCACTCATGAGTTTTCATGTCTGGTGGTGCTTTAAGCTTCTGTTACTTGTTAGCTGGTGCAAGATGCAAACATTGGACATCAAACATGTCATGGCTGATCAGTTAGATTTGGGCTATGGGGAAATTTGTCAGTTTAATTCTTCAGTTTAATCAGCTACTTTTTTGCCAAAATATCCCTTTAACTATATTTTATGTAAGATCATTAATGAATAGTTGTAAGATGAATTAGTTACTCAAATACTTTTATAATTATTGTTTTTATTTTTTAGAACACGTTCACAGCCCTCCTGCAGCTTCTCCCTGTGCTGGTCCTCGTCCTCATCTCTGTAGTAACCCAACTGATGGCAACCAACCCTCCTTACAGCCTCTTCTACAAACCGTGAGTGTGACCCCTTCTTCAGACCTGAACCACAGCAAGACTGCTGGAACCACAGAGCACACCTTTGATATGTAGATCTTTAACAAGCTGAAAAACTTTTTTCAAGCCAGATCGAGAGTGATTGATCAAGTATGTACTATTACCAAGAACTTTAGATTTATATCTTTCTAAGCAAAGAGAAACAGTTATATTGGGGATAGTGATAAGAGAACACTCTGCTGTCTTACAGGTCCATGGGTTTGGTGGTGAGTAGGGAGACCCAGCACATGGGTGTACCCTACTATGTAGATAAGAGCTTTGAGAAGGAGTACCGTGGGGCAGCTCTTGATGAGCTAGAAAAGACCATTGAGAGCGACTACATAGAACATCTACAGAGCAGCTGCTGGAAAGAAAAACAACAGAGTGAGTCTTTTTAATTCCATTTAATTACACTGATATGTTAGTGCACGATTGCCAAGTTGTGTTTGATGTATGGTTCTCCTAACCCCTCAAGAGACACAAAAAATGGCTACTTCTGCTGTTTAATCTACTGATCTCTGTTAATAACATGATTTCTTAAAGTTGTTGTTGCTGTTGATATGTAAAGAATGTGGTATAACATAACCAAAACTAGATTGTCACAAACTGCCTTTTAGAACGAAAAAATATGTGCATAGAAATGTCACATATCACTTGGATTTTATTGTTACTCTGAAGAATTAAATCAGTAAGTGCTTAACAAGTGTTTACCGATCAGAATTCTCGGGAAACATGATAGTGTATCCAAAAATAAAGGTGCCTAGTGCATCTGTTATATAGTGATAGAAAACAGAGTTGGAACAAAAATCAAAACAAAAATTCTCCATGCTAATGCATTTTGTTCTGCTCACAGTGGATGGCACACACCATAACTGCTTTAATGATTAGATTGAAATGGGTTGAAGAGGACATCGCCAAAGTCTCTGAATGTATTGCTGGCAAAACTTTGCGATAAGTAGAGTAAATGAAAACTTCTAAATAAGAATAATACTAGAACATGGATAATTGTCTGTTACTGCCTTATAGTGGTTTACTTACAACTAATCTTCTTTAACTAAGCTTCCATACAAAATTAGGAAAAAATTATGTACCCCATATTATAGCCTGCCAGTACAGTAAAAGCTAAAAGCTTAAGTATCCTGCATGGCCATTGATTTATATGTCCAAGTGTGCAATCACAGCATTGCAATTCACCATTTCCCCATTAAGTACTAGAATTTTATTTTAATGAATCCTTATAGTAGACATAAAATGTTCATGACTTTACTGAATTTGTGAAATTGTATCATTGCCTTGATTTTTTTCCTAAACTTATGCAGGATTTATGTGTGAATGACAAATAGCATATGCATGAAAATCTGGTAGCTATTTTTGGCTTGTTAAATTGTCATTAGGCTTCTGCTATCATCTGACTCTGGTGATTTTTGTCCCTTAATGTGGCCAAGAACTGTCTGCTTTGAGAGAACAGGGCCATTGGATTGGCGTGCAAGAGAATCAACCACTGACAGTTGCAGTAGCAAGGTGATTTTCAAAACGGGCCTACAAGAAAAACAAACCTGCAGTGAACATCAGTGTGTCTCTGCAAATGTGCAAGAGTGCAATAGTCTAGTGACTATATCTCGCTCCAAAAGGCTTGTTGTTATAGTGCACAATGCAGGCCACAAAATTTGTTTCCTGTTTGGCAGACAAACCCCACTGCACGAAAGTACATTCACACAGATGTACGGGTAGCCAATCAGAATGGAACTGACAGAATCTATATAGCTGTGGGCAGTTTCAGGTGCAAAGAAATAGTACAGGTCAGTGTAGCGCTGTAAACAACAACCTAATCTCAGCCTCAGAATGTCTGAGGATGTGAATAGATTGTCTGTACTTCCTTGTACAAACTGTACAGTGTGTGCTTGTGTGTTCCTCTCTTGCAGAGTCGGACCTGGCTAATTTGGGCCAGCTTTATCGGGATGAACGGCTGAAGCAGAAGGCCGAGACCATGAAGCTGGACCACTGCGAGAAGCTGCACCGCTTCTTGGGCCGCCAGAGGGGTGACTGAGAGTGGGCTTCTCTCCCAGCATGCTCTCCCCCAAAAGAGTTCTTACTGTCAGTGATTAATTTTGAATTAATCTGTGCAGGTCACTTTCTTGGAAGGGAGAGATGATGCAAGTAGAGAGGTGGTCTGAGATGTATTTAGGTGAGAGCATGGTGCCTTTTGCCCTGCTGCCTGGGGAAAAGGCCACTAGCATGCTGAATTACACTGGAGCTGCTGGGAGCGATAAATTCAGTCTTCTGCAACAGAGAGGCCTCCTTGCAGAGGGTGTGTTTGTGTGTGTGTTTGTGCCAGAGCTGGGTTTTATTTCCTTACATTAAGGAACTTAGGCTCCAGGCTTGCTGACAGGGTTGATGCTAGAGATCCTCCTGTTCACACTCCCACTTTATTGGATGCCTGCCTGAGTTTCATTAGTACTATTGTTTATTTAACTGACTTCAAATAATACTGACTAAAAAAAATTAACTTATTTATTTTCTTTGTTTATGTGAAGTGAGTTATTTTTAGGTGTATCTAATGACACTGAAAAGCTTTCAGTTGAACACTAAGATTAATACATTTCCCCCCCCCACATTGGCTAAAGTTGAACGGTTGCAAACGACAGGGTCGAAAAACATAAATGCTTCAAAAAGCTCTTCCAGAAGTGTTTGTGTACAAACTTGAATCAACTTTCACATATTTAAATAAGTGAAAGTGATGTATCAATTCTTGACAATGCTCCCGAGGTCTAGCATCACAAGGCATTAACTCAGTCTCGTTAAGAGTCTTGTGTTGTGGAGAGGGAAAAATGTCTTTTGTCTGTGTTCTGAAATCTTGCCAAAAGCCATTATCTCAGTTATATATTTTTTTTTCGTAGATTCATTTATACATTTTACTCTTACCAAATTCCAAAATTTTGTGTTGCATGCAGCCCAGTGGGAGATTCCCTTTGCTTTGTGTTATACAGTGTTCAACACAGCAAAGTCAGGTTAAATTTATTTTAGAGCTCTTGCTTATAGCCTACGCACAAAGGAATTACTTGTAACTTTTCAGTTGTAAAGCTGGTCATATGTTGTACCTCAGATTAGTCAGCACTAGTCAAGAAGTTCAAAATGTGATAGCCTTTTTAATATAGCTCACATGGGGGCCTGAGAGCCAGGCTAATGTCCTAAAGGATGTAATGGGAAAAGCTTGGAAGGGCAGAGGCTAATTTAAATAATGTGTGAGCTGTAGCCATGTTGCCCTGTTGGCACTCTACGGCCAAGTTAGTTGGTGCTGAGTAAGATTTTGTGCTGGTTTAATAAAACACTGAGCATTGCTTCGTTCTCCTGAATTTCATCATTCTAAAATTGTGTAAGCTTTCTCCTGTGCAAATGTTCACACAAGTTGTATGCCAGTGTCATTCACTACAGCTTCCCTCTGCCATGAGTTAGAAATAGAAAGATGCTGAGGCTTCTCTCTTCCTCATTTACTCCTCTCCTTACTGTCTTGGCACGTTTACAACTGCTGGGAGGTTAATTTTCTGTGTTAACACACGTTTTTCTCACCTAAGGAGTCCTGCAAAGGTTATGCTACGTTCCCGGTTATCATATTTTTATTTTACTCATACATTTCATCTGTATCTTCTGGACAAACTATACAATGAACCATACTTGTGCCATTCGTTATCAGGACAGACAAAGTCACACATACTGCAGGACAGTCCTGTCCTTAACAGAGATGCCACATGGTTCCTCTTGTTGCACAAATACCTGTTCTCAAAACTCCAGTCAAATCCATTGGGTGCAAGTGCAGTGTTTACCGAGGTGAAGTGGGAGACAAGCAATAAAGTTTAGAGAGAGAGACACTCTAACTGTCTTAATGGCTCTGTCACTAGTCATGGAGTGGAGTCCACAGTTGGTCTTATTGATCACTTCTTCATTTTCAGGTCGGCCTCTATAGCACAGCGCCGGCCTCTTGTACCTCCATCCTGAGGAGACAGAAAGAGATGAGAGTTGTGAGCTTTCACAGTCCAACTACAATTGCATACACATGCAGTGGCGACCTACATTTCAGGCTTACTATTGTTAATAATCCTAAAACATGAACTACTCTGAAAGTAATTTGTAAGTTATATAGTTATGAGAAAAGAATTGAAATGTAAGCCACATATGAGCCAATACACTTTAAGCAGTTAAAGTGAAGAAAGAATCTGTAAACCTTTCTAGCATACAGTCATTTTGTTCACACGCTGTGTGTAAGATATATATGTTACTGTGTATGGCAGCCTACAGGGTAACGGCAGCAAAAAGAGTACTTACAAAAAGAGAGAGAAGGAAGGCAGGAGAGGCCATGGGAACACTGTCCTGTAAGAGGAAAAACAGGAGTCAGAAAGTGGGTTGTACACTCAAACATACAGTGGAGAGACTTGCACAGACTATTCTCTGCACTGCAGACACTGACAAGGTAGTGGTATGTTAGTGGGTGTTGTGCGAGGGTAACACAGTAGTGTTGGTGGAGTTTGTTTCAAACACCTGAGTGCTACTGCTGGACTGAGAGTAGTCCACCACCCTAAATATCCAGCCAACAGTGTCCTATGACCAGAAACTGACCATAGATGAAGCACTACAGGACAACAGACATAAACTGTGCATGGAAAAATGTCTAGGACAAAGAGATACTATCTTTACACCAGCAAGGTAGGTGAGTCGTGTGTTTAAAAACTGCACCAACAAAACGCCTACTAACGTAACTACCAGCATGGTTCGAATTACGGGGGGATTGGGTAAAAACAGTTAGGCGAGGTCAAAACCTTTATATATCTTTCTCACCTGTAGTTGTAACTATTGCAAAATTTCCCATAGTCATGCCTCGATTTCAGACACTCCTAAAGTGGACCATACCATTTCTTGACCTAGACGTTAGTTGTGTGTCTCGTCTGCCTGCCTCCTAGTCTATGCTGCAGTGCTGTTGTTGCACAAGCCAGTAGAGACACTGTGGGTTAATCTAAGAAGCTAGCTGTTTAGCTAGCTTGTTTAATTCACTTCACTTTCTTACCTTCAGAGTTTCTGAATTAGACTGTGTGAAGTGGCTATGGATAAATGCTAATGTTAGCTAGTTTCTAACTTTTTCAAACTAATAAAGCTAATGTTAGCTAGCTAGCTGATAGCCCGCCCTTTTATTTCCAGTGTTCTCTTGGAATTTCATCACCAATATTAAATGTCATATATTATCTAATAGCTACCGCTGGTTCTCAGTCATGAGCAGTGAGACAATGTAGGATTAGTCGTTGCAGAGATACGTTTTGACATAAAGAGTTTATTATTTCATTTTATTTGTATTTTGTGTGACTGTGGGGGTGCAGTTTTTGGCCTTTTTGATACAGCTTTTATAATAGGAACCCCCTTTGTTTTCACTTAGGAATTCAAGGTTTTAGCTAAAGTTAAAATCCATGTGTGCGGTAGAGTAATTGTATTAATTCAAATGTATGACTACTTTCTTGAACTCACATTAGTTTTCATTCACAGAGTCAACATGAGCAAGAGGGGACATGCACACTTTTTTGGTGCTAAAAAAGAATAATACCTTGTAAGAATTAGGACAGAGAGATGATAATGCAGCCTTTCTTTTCTGTGGTTGTTATGCAGGCTTAACACTGCAGAATAATATGGGTGAGAGCAGAAGGTGGTCAGAATGACAGTCAGCAGGCAGGTGGAAGTCAGGAGGACAGTGATCAGTGTATGTGGGTCTGACTTATTGGCAGTTTTGCTCTAGAATACTTTTGTCGGTGACACCTGACTACAAAAGTTGTGTGAAATGTGCCCCATGATCTGGTGTACTGGATTTGTCATTATCTACAGACTGCAGGCATTACGTTAAACAACCAAGATACTGTAAGGATTGTAAGACTTCAATTCACTGAAGCATGTACTGGGTTGAGAAAAAGTTGACACCCCCCCCCATTGTCACTATATAATTTGCACTCTGACTACCAGATTGGTGTCACTGCTGTGCTGACAATGATCTACCACACAAATAATATCTGTTCAGCAGTGGTCCTATGGTGGTCCCTCTGAAATGATGCATGGAGGAGAGGGTGGCTGACATATCATGCAGTAACTGATGGGCTACAGTCAGTAAGTGTAAACCTACAAAGCGCACCGATATGGTAGGTAAACCTGATAAATGGCTAATGAAACTAAGGATTTAATGTGGTGTTTTCTTTATTTTGGACTCCCCGTGTACATACGATCATCTTTTTTTATTATCGTAGATTTAGATTAGGGTCTTCTCAGAGTAGAGGTGCAGATCTAGGATCTCTTCCCATTAGTGAAGTCACTGTAAACAAGAGAGGAATCTGTTCCCAGATCAGCACTCCTACCCTGAATAGATTTAAGAACATGGGCCCAGAACCCATTTTAGGAGCCAGTCATTTAGAAATGCATATAATTTACAAACCTTTTCTCACAAGAGTAGATATACAAGTTTAAAAGACAACTCAATCTACTATCCCATAACTAATCTAGGCCAAACATCTCTCATAACAGCAACATCACCTTAGCAGTCTATTGCGAATGTCAGCAACATGCACTACTTTTAAGAACACAGACTTTTTGGATGTTGCAAAAAACTGTCATTGTGCTCAAAACTTGATGCTCTTCTCCCTCTGGATCTCTTTTCGTAGTACGCACCCACTCTCACAGTGGTAAGATGATAACATGACCTTAAGAAATGTGCTAATTACACTCACTTCCTTTTACTGTGATTTATCTGCAGACTCATTTATCTTTTTATTAACTTCATTGCTCCTTTTTGAACATCAGGGGTCTAGACTCTTCACCACAGTTTATGACAGTATTTCATCACTGTCATAAGAGAACTAACTCCATTTGTTTTTTTTCATTTTTAACACCATTTGAGAATGCAGTCTGCCTTTCACATTGTCTGACCAATTCATGACAGATGGACCAGCTGAAATGGTTCAAAATTACTTGGAATAAAATCTGATTACATTAACTGATATGTAGAACGTTGTTTTGCTCCTCCTATATAGTTGCCGCTTTGAAGATATGATGTTCTCTTTTGACAGAAATGATATGTGTGTGCAGTAAGTGTGTGTGGCATATCTTACCTTGTCGTTGGGGTCCTGCTTGCGGTTGGCCTCTCGGCCACGCAGGCTCTTGGCGCTGATGCCTGACTCTGAGGTCTGCATGATGAGCTGAGTGGCCAGAAACTGCTGGATCTGCTCCAGCACGTCCCTCTGCATCTCCACAGCCATGTGGAAGACATCGTGGTCTGAGCTGTTGTACATCACTGCATTCTGGAACATCAGCATGATGTCACGCTGGAACTCAGCTGTGGTTCTGATCAGTCCATTTTCAATGTTCTTCTTTATGGTGGACAGGTCCATGGGCCTGGGACAAAGGGAAAGAGATGCAAATTGTTTTAAGTAGTGATGCACCAAAATATTTTGGCTGAAAATGTCCAAAAAATGACATTTTTAAATATTAAATAGGCATACAAAAATGCTGAAGTATAACAATAAAAAAAAACTTTTCAATCATATTTAGAAATAATAATAGCGTTTAAAACATGCTATATCTTTTGATCTCTTGCACCAGTAATTGTTTACATGTTTTTTCTAAATGACAAAAAAAAATTAATATAAGTCCATTAAGGAATGGAATAAAAAAGCATTTGGTTTTTGAATTACGATGGAGGACTTTAATTTCGGTGCTATTTTTAAACTTGATTTCTCAAGTAATAACTTCTCCAAAAAATACAAAACAGTAACTTTCTGCCAGATCTCCATGAAGCCTTACCTATGTACAATACTGTGATAACCAGGGGCGATGTCATCCGTCACTGGCTGCAGGAAGACATTAGCATACCTGTCCCGAGGAACCAAAGTCAGTTTAACAGCTGTGAAAGCACAGGCCCTGAAGCTTGTTTTTGAATTGCTAAGACATGGAGTCTTCATTTCACATACAACTGACTCTTTTGCTTGAATCAGTCTAAATATAATTTAAACATCAAAGTATTTACTGTCTAACTGTTAAGTGTCAAACTATTGCTACTGACTGCAACAACATTTGACCTGTGATTGGCTGCTGCCCGCCACACCAGCATGATTGCTTTCTTCCAGATCTTCTGTGCTTGAATGGCCTCCTGATCCTCACTGCTTATAGAGCTTAAAGAGAAAGAAAGTGTATTCATTCATCACATTGCTGAAGAGAACTTGATGGTCCACAAGTGTCTGTGTGTATGCGGTGAACTCACAACTGTGAGGAGGCAGGGCTGCTGGGGATGGAGTCTGCGGTGGTATGGAGCTGTAAGGAGGAGGAGGCCGTGTGCATGCTACAGCCATCTTCACTCTCACTGACCGGAGGCTCCAGCTCTGCCTCCCCCTCTGCCTCAGACAGATACCCCTCCACCCCTTCCCCATCCTCATCGCCCCCACACTCTTCACCCCTGTCTCCTGCTAACCCTGCCTTTGTCTCCAACACACTGCTCTCTTCAGCATCACTCACTCCTTCATCCTCATCGTCTTCTTCCTCCTTCACTTCCTGCTGAACCAGACAAAACGAATTAGATAGCATAGTGGATAAAAGCATCGCATGGAAGATCAAAGATTAAATTCACCGTCTAGACAAGAATTCTGTATCAATTATATACCTTAGTTAAGGCTGTTATATCAGTAAGAGACCTTGGGCAAATCTACTAATGCTAAATTCAACATCTCATGTAAGTCAGTCTCATGAAAAGCATCTGCTTAATTCATAAATATAACATGAATGTCAAAGGAGGGAAAGCACAGGAAAAGAAAATAAATGTACTCAGGCTCCTTGTTAACCAGACTGCAATTCAGCATGAGCACTAGAACTGTGTGCAGTTGGTTAGGGGAGCTATTATACCTTGGAGTGCTGTCTTGCTGTAGGATCACTGTCCATGTGAGACTCTGAAAGCAAAAAAGCAAAGACATACGTTACCTGAGGAAATTGGAGGAGAGTCAGAATTAGCTGTGCTTGGCCAGGTATGTGTGCAGCACTTAGAATTAAAGCTGTTTATTTAGGCTGCAAGCATTTTTTTTATTGTTAAAACACTAACATTCAAATAAATACAAATAAGCATTAATAAACTGTGTAAGTGTAACTATTTCTAAACTTCTCCTTGAGACTGCCTGGCCAATCAGTACTTCATTAAATTATCAGGTATGGTGGTGGTAGAATTTAATAAATCCATACAGTAGCTGAGGAGCACGAGATGGAAAGGAGCCAGCTCTGTGTTCTTCTAGCCAATTGACAAGATATTAATAACAAAAAAAATCTGGTTGCTTTTTACTGTATCAACTCTTTAGACTCCATGTGTCAACACAAGTCCAGCAGGCCAAGTCAGGCCTGTAGCGCAATCCTGTTCGGCCCGCAAAATTATTTTAATTTTCTATTAATACTAGCCCATTTTACCATTAACTGCACTACACATTCCAGCATGCACTGCAATGTACTGTGTGCTCCCACCCCCTCCCCAACAACGATCTATAGGACTGAACCACCAAAACAAAACAAAGAAAAGATGCCAGGTGTCTAGTTCAAACGAACGGGCAGTTTTTAAAAACTCCTGGACATTGGGGACATTGAAAGAGCTTTAACAGTTATCTGCAGCTAATGTAATCTATTGTTTTATGTGAAGCAATTTATTTTTATCTAAAAATATTTTTGAATGAAGTATTCAGTGCCTTTTTTTGCCGTAGTTTTGGCATATTTTGAACAAACAATGCCCAGTTGGAGTCAAGGCAAAATGTTAAGTAAAAAAAAATAAATAAAAACACAGCTTTTGTTGAGTTTGACACCACTGCTTTAGACTAAACGTGTTGCTGCCGACTCATTTATGACATGCTGTTTACACTTAAATAACTTTAAAACGATTTAACATCAACATGCTTCAAATTCCATGATAACTAAGGAAGCAGAGTTTTCTGACAGTATGCTATATGTGACATTGTGTGCTGTGCAGCCAGAGACATCTGAGAAATGTCAGGAGAGAAATATTGTCCAAAGTAGACCAATGTAAAATTATGTAGCTACACAGCAACATAAATCACCAATAAGATCACCAAAAAAGCCTACTGACAAAGCCGAGAAAAATGGCCACAGACTTTTATTTACAGAAAACAGAGACATCCAGTGACTTTTCTAAGCTGTTAAAGTGCTTTATTGTTTGGATTATTTCTTCAAATTGTTTTGTTCTGCATATTTCCAAAGTTTCTTTATTATAAATCTGAACAAAAAGAACTTTTGATGCTTTTCACATTTGCATATAATTATTTTTGTTTTAGAAGCTGAAATAAATGTTTTTACTGAATCAGAGCTTATAGATTACTTCACAAAAGTGTAATATCACAAAGTTAGTAGTAAAAAATTTAGACATGCCAAGCCAGCTACTTTTTTTTAAAATTACATTTTACAAGTAGACATTCTGCCCAGATAAACAGTTTTTAACAAACTGATACATACAGGCATGACTTACCTATCTGGGACTGTGGCCATTCAGCTTTCTCACTCTTAGCTGTGACAGGTGGTGATGTATGCTGGCCTCCTTCTTTGTATGTGTGTTCTGGTACTGGGTCTGTTTCAGAGTGAACTCCTGGTATCTGAGTGTGCTCCAGCTCTCCTGAAGTGCAACAGGAGGAGGAGCGGGCTGGGTAGCCCTGTCCACAGCCCTCACTGGAGCCACAGGGCTCATGTCTGACCCCCACACCTTCCCTCCTCCCCTCCAGGGCAGGGTGCAGTGAGGGAATGACCAGAGAGTCTGCAGTGTTAGATGGCTCAGAACCCACAGACTTAAAAGAGCTGGACTCCCAGTGACCCGACAGGGCGTGGCCTGTGTCCTCACACAGAGACAGAGCTGCTTCCACTGCCGCTGCATCTAGAGCTTCTGCATTCTCATCACCCTGCAGAAAAAAAAATGAATCAGATCAGCAAAATGAAAGACAATGTGAAACAAAATACTAGCCTCCACAGCTTTGGAATCACAACATGTATGACTGCATCTGTAGCATATGGTCAGTTAGCACAGACAATAATTTCACTGTGTTCTCTGCAATTAGAAAAGAACAGAAAACATGTTGACTTGAAACACACTTATAACAGAAACCATTGGGCAGTTGCTGAATTCCACCAGTAAACATTTATATATAATTCTAACTTATTTTTGTAGAATTCTTGCATGAGTTCATCGATGGACTGTATTTGTAAAATAAGCTGTAGATGTTTATTATTTGTTCTTTCTGATCAGGACTATTTTTAAAGATGGAAGAATTTGTTGTAATTTGTTAGCAGCATAGTGGTGTGGGTGGAGTTTTCACAGGCTCAGCCTGATCATGCATGGATATAACTGAATACTAGAATAGTGAAAGTAGCTGAAATTGCTTTGTTCGCTTGTCTGCTACATCTTAATGAGTCCACTTCGATGCAGAGGATATAAAGGAATTGCCGGTCTTTTGGGGTTAGCCGTAGCATGAGCAAAGTCGCCAGAACGATTGCGGCACTTCTGTTTCTCTCTACTGCCTGAGAACCCACCTCGGTCAAATGCATCAGGTGACACTGTGGTTGGGGCCTTGTACATAAAAACAAGCATTGGAGCAGCTAGTACTTAAGTGTGAATGACTAATATTTTTTAAATTGCAGTAGTGTCTGATGTTTGGAGAGTGCATGAGACAAATGACTTGAAAAATTTAACAAAGCTGAAGTTGACTTCTTATTTAAATTTACTGTTCCAACTTAAATGGTGCAGCAGCCACAATCAGGCACTGTACAGATGCCAGAATGTAACTGCTACTCCATTTAAGGTAGTATGTAAAATCTGAACAAAAAGCAGCTGAATAAAAGGCTAACATAAGTTTTGTAGAAAGTCAGATGTGAAACAACATTTAGCACCATTTTCCCTGGACACATTTATTATTTCAAAATTATTTCAGATTTACTTTGTTTGTTAAAATATTTCTTATAAAATCGGAAAACCTACAAAAATGTATTTAAGCTTCTAAAATGGTTTTATTTGAATATATACATATATACTGTGATATGTCAGAAATTGTAATTATAGCTGAATTTTAAATTTTACCATACTGTTCACTACCAATCATAACAACACCCTTAGTAAAGAGATACTGGAACATTTAGCACTAAAACTGGAACTGTGCAGTAGCAGTAAGGTTAAGTGAGAGTTTTTGGTACTTGTTCAAGATTGGTACCAACAGAACCTAATGGTACTTGATGGGGAGGCTAACAGTACTGTTGACTGCTGACTGATCAAGCATAACGCTGAAATTAAAACACTTTTAACAATCAGAGAAAACAGATCTGTGGAGTTATGAAAAGATACACTATATGGCCAAAAGTATGTGGACATCCCACGCATTTGGGTTTGTTGGACATCCCATGCCAAAACCGTGGGCATTAATAAGAAGTTGGCTCCCCTTTGCAGCTATAACAGCGTCCACTCTTCTGGGAAGGCTTTCCATAAGATTTTGGAGTGTGTCTGTGGGAATTTGTGCCCATTCAGTCAAAAAAGCATTTGTGAGGCCAAGCACTAATGTTGGATGAGAAGGCCTGGCAATTGATGTTCCAATTCATCCGAAAGGTGTTCAGTGGGGATGAGGTCAGGCTCTGTAGACAGGGGCACAGTCATGCTGAAACAGGACAGGGCCTTCCCCAAACTGTTGTCACAAAGTTGGAAACATATAATTGTCTAAAAGGACTTTATATGCTGTAGCACTAACATTACCCTTCACTGTAACTAAATGGCTGAGCTCAAACTGAACTTCCTTTTCACAATAATAGCATTTACTGTTGACCAGGGCAGATCTAGCATGGCAGAAAATTAACAAACTGACTTGTGACAAAGGTGACATCCTGTGACAGTGGCACATTTAAAGTCAACAAGCTCTTCATGACCAGTTCTACTGCCACTGTTTGTCTGTGGCCCATGTGTCCGTGACACAGTCCTATTTGGCCCACAAAATGAATTTAATTTTCTATTCTTATTAGCTTGTTACACCCTGAGATGCACTACAGTCCCCAGCATGCACTGCAGCATAGTGTGCATTCTGACCCCTTTCCCCAACGACAATCTATGAGTCAGCGGTTACACAAAAAGAAAAGATGCCTGGCAAATAGGCAGCTTTAAAAAAATACCTAAAACAATTGATTTTTATTTAGAATTAGTATTCAATGCCTATTTTGCCGTTTTTTAATATGGCCCTTTTAGTGGTTGAGTTTGACACCCCCAGTGTATGGAGATTGCATGGCCATGTGCTTAATTTTATACACATGTTAGTAATGGGTGTGACTGTGAAACACCTGAATTCACAGGGCAGAAATGAGTAGACATTGAACTGTCTTTTCTTCAAACTCCCCTGTGCTTGCTAATAACTGCAGCTAAAACCCACAGATAATTTAGCTAACTGTTTATTATTCAGGCAAAAGTCACCAAAACCAATAAGTGGACCAAAATATAAACCAGACATTGATGTGTGGATCACTGTTTTTCAGAATTTTCTTAACATTGTGAAGAATTTAGATTAACTAGTTATGTTGTTAATACTAACATTATTAGCATTTAGCAGTCTCTTTTAATCTTGTCACTATCACCATTCCAGAAGGCTGTCAAGCATGTGGAAAACAAACTTAAACTAGAACCAGAACCAGAAAGTTCCCAGAAACTGGAAAGCCCCATTCATTCCTATTTTTGTCAGTTCTTGCTTTTGAATGTGCATACATGAGCATATTTCTGTTGTTTTCTGAGTACAGAGAATTGCACCAAAATTATTGTGCAGGTTAAATGATGTTATGCTACAGATGTGGCAGATAGAGATTAGGTTGCAAAATGCAAGGAAGTAAGATTACTTGAAATTGAAACTGAAGGAGAGTAGAATAGAACTTTACCTTGTCCTCAATGATAGCTATGATGTCTCCTACTGTCTCCAAATCCAGCTCATCAGCCATGTAAGACACAGTGACCAGGTCCTCTTCCTCCAACACTGATGCTTTACTCTCCACTGAGTGTCCGTCATCCTCTCCTGCTTTAGAGTTGCACAAACGCACGCTCAATCAATCATTCTCTTCTCTCTCATAATTACACAGACATTTGCAGAAAGGCTGAAACTGTGAATCCTATCATAAAAATGCAGGCAAAAAAGTTGCATCAACATTAGTTTAGTTTATCACAGGTAATGATGCACTGGGTGTTCACGAGCTGCTAGTGAGCAGGATGGTAGCACTACAGGAAGGGGAAAGGGAAAGGTTTTGGAAGAGAGAGGGGCTAAGAGACACCTGTGTCTAGAGAAGCAGAGGTGTCCACAGCAGGTGCTACAGCAGCAGGTGGGGCAGCACTGGAGGTGGAGTCTGCAGTAGCCAGTGAGCTCAGCTGAGAGGGAAAATGGGCGGGGCCAGCTTCCAGCAGACGAGACAGCGTGGGAGCACCTGGGACATATGCACACACCCACATACCACACAACCCAAACACACGTAAGGCAGAGCAAGCTAGACGTTTAGCTAGAAGAGACACCAGGTGCCTGTCAAAAGTTTGTGGACGCCTTGAAATGTTTTAAAGTTTGATTTTAACTGTTACTTTTCTGTCATGTAAAACCCCATTTCTAAAAAAGTTGGGAAGCTGTGCCAAATGTAAATAAAAACAGAATGCAATGATGTGCGTATCATTTAAACCCTATATTTAATTGACTATAGAACAAAGACAACATATCAAATGTTAAAACTAAGAAATTGTATTGTTTTTTTGTTTTTTTTTTTAATATATGCCCAATTTGAATTTGATGTCAACAACATGTTTCAAAAAAGTTGGGACAGGAGCAACAAGAGACTGGTAAAGTTGTGTAATGCTAAAAAAAACACCTGGTTGAACATCTCACAACTAATTAGGTTGACTTGCAACATGTCAGTAACATGATGGGGTAAAAAAGAACGTCCTAGAGAGGCTGATTCTTTCAGAAGTAAAGATGGGGAGGAGTTCACCACTCTAAAAGACTGCATAATCACACTTTGCACACTTTCTAATAAAAGAAAGTGGACAGAAAAGTTACTGAAAATTTTGATGTGAGCAAAGACTTTTAATCAGTACTTAATTTTTCTTACAACCCTGTTTCCAAAAAAGCAACATGTAAATAAAAACAGCATACAGTGATGTTCAAATAATTTAAGTCCTATATTTAATTGAAAATAGTACAAAGACAACATATCAAATATTGAAACTGAGAAATGTTATTATTTTTAAAAAAAGTATATGCCCATTTTAATTTGATGCCATTTGAATTATTGCACTATTTGTCTGCGCAGTCTTTCAGAGTGGGGAACTCCTCCCCATCTTTACTTCTGAAAGACTCAGACTCTCTAGGGTGCTCTTTTTTACCCCATCATGTTACTGACATGTTGCACATCAACCTAATTAGTTGCTTTATGTTTATCAAAGTGTCTACCTTGGTATGAAGAGCAGGATTTCCCAAAACACTGATTTGACAGTTTCAGTTCCAAACTACTGTTAAAAGCATAAGAAGAAATTTCAGCCCACATATTGTTTCTCAAGTTAGTACTGTCACAATTACTACCACAAATAATTAGATGTGATATTTTTTCTTCAAAATAGACTTGGTTTGCTCTTATTATGTTAATTTATTGCAAACTAATAAAGAAAACATTCTCATTTATACTAAAATTTTAAAAAGCAAGATTTTCCCTATACTCCTGGCATGTACTGTACAGAGGGGCACGTAAGTACAAAGTGACATTTGACATTCATATAAGCACTGCTTTCAGAGGATGCCTCATGGTCTCTTGCAACTTTCTTGTACTCAATACATTATTTACAAAAGAAAGAGCTCCAGATTGTAGCTTGTCTCTGAAGGGAACACTTTCTTTTTATAGTAGTTCAGTATAGCAATGTGTCAATAAACCATTTACTCCATCATAAATTCTTGCAACACGTTTTTTTAAGAGTGGAATATATTTTTACTTTTACTTTACATTGTGTATGAGGTGTGTATACAGCAAGGGAAAACAAGTATTCACACACTTTTGTTTTTTGTTATTTAATATACTTCCACTTCATATTTGAACACATAATGTGTTTTGACTTTCTATTTATACATATGAACAAAAATAGTATGTATTTTTTTCATATGTATAAGTACATATGACAACAGTAACACAGAGCACAATAAGCAATGAAATGCACTGCAATCACCTCTGTTCCTACACCCCAAAACTCCTCTGCTAAAAAAGAAGCACAAAGATGTATGCCTAACATTTGCATGTGAACATTTAGACAAATTTGTAACGTGCTCTGGTCAGACAAAACAAAAACAGAAGACTAACTCAGCTCTCCATTTTGCACATATGATCCCAAGAAACCATAGTCACAGTGAAGTGTGATGGTGGGAGCATCATGACAGCTGCTTGTCTACAAATAGTACTGGGGCATTACATGGCATTGAAGGAAACAAAACTGAAAAGATGTACTGGGAGATATCATAGAAGACTTGATCAGCCAAGAAAGAAGATAAGATGGACGTTTCAACGACAATGACCCCAAACATACAGCCTAAACTAAATCAAGACTGGTAAAGGTGCTTGCATGGCCTAGCCAGTCTCCTGACCTGAATCTCATCGAAAATGTATTAAAGATTTTGAAACTGCCAGCCCGACAGAGGGACCTTAGTAATCTTGGGCAACTGAAAACATCCAAAATCGAACCACAATGCTGCAAAAAGCTTTTTAGTTCTTACCACCGACATCTCAAAGCTGTAACTGCTAACAACGGCTTTGCAACAAAGTGCTAATGTTATTAATTTGTGGTGTCTGAATACTTTCATTTTAATAATTTCCATTTTTAAACCTCTCATTGTTTATGCTTATGAATACATATTTTTGTTAATACTGACATCTTATCAGGAAATAAATATTTTGCTCAAATCTGAGTGTGCCACAATTATTGACACCCCTTCATTTAATACTTTGTGCAGCTTCCCTTTGAAAACACAACAGTTCTGAGTCTTCTCCTATAACATTTAATGAGACTAGAGAACACATACCAAGTTATCTGAGACCATTCCTCCATACAGAACCTCTCCAGAATTTTTTCTATGAGGTTTAGGTCAAGGGACTGGAGTGGCCACAGCAAACCTTAATTCTGTGGTCAGAGAACAATTTTTGAGGTGATTTTGAGATGTGCTTTCGATCATTATCCTGCTAGAAGATCCAAACTATAGCCCAGTTTAAGCTTCCTGGCTGAGGCAGTCAGGTTTTGATTTTATTTCTGCTGGTACCTGATGGAGTCTGTGTGATACCATGTATCCGAATAAATTGTCCAGGGCCTTTGGAAGAAAAACAGCCCCACAGTATCACAGATCCACCACCATACTTCACAATAGGGATGGGGGACTTTTCATGCCAAACTCACCTCTGGTGTTTGTTGCCGAAATTCTACATTTATGTATAAAGTTCCTGTAATGTTCCGCATCTGTGATCCTTGGAGATTCTTTGTTCACTCAAACCATCCTCCTCACTGTGTGTAGGGTCACTATAGCCATGTCCTCTTCCTGACAGATTCTTAACTCTCCAGTTGTTCTAACCTTCTTAATTATTGCCCTGATAGTTGAATGGACATTTTAAGAATTTAAGAATTTCTAGAAGTGCAGTATTTTGATTGAAAGATTAAAAGGAATAAATACTTAAGAATATTTTTTCAGTTCATTTTGCTTATGATTACCAGAGTTGCCAATATTTATGGGTGGCAAAGACATTGTGTGTGTAAATTTGAAGTGGATGTAGGCACTAGGAGTATATTAAAGAACAAAAAAGTGTATGAAATCTTGTTTCCACTCACTGTATATGTATGCATAGATGTGTGCATACCGGTCACTGCCTGGGAAGCAGGTAGTGCAGAGGCTGTGAGCTGTGGTTCCTGGATTCCTGCAATCTGACCAGATTCCCCGTCTGCTACCTGAAACATACATGGCATGAGTGTACTATTCTCACCACCTCCAATGTCATGTCTGTTTCAGTCTGTTTGCGATACTGACGCAGCTCTAGAACAGTAAATATTAACGTATGTTAGTGTGCAAGGCTGACCAGTCTTGGGCTGGTGGGGAGGAGACTGCCCTTCTTCAGCAGCTCAGACAGCAGGGGTGAGGGTGGTGGCGTGGCTTTCTGACCCAGCAGCTTCTTCTGACCTGAGCAGTCTTCCAGCAGAGAGCTCAGCCCTGCTTCCACAATCCCGGCTCCTGGAAGCTCTGCCACAGGGGTGAACACTGCAGAGCCTGCACCCTGTGCACAGACAAGAAGAGCATATGAGGGACCCCAGCAGGGGTGAATGACAAGACTGAATGCAAAGGAGCGGCACTCACAGCCATGCCAAGCTCTTCACATGAGTCTCCAAGGGTGAAGTCCAAGCCTGGGGAGGCGGCCCCAGAGGGCGAGCGCATGGTCAAACCTGAAAGCCGTTTCGGAGTGTTCCTCACTGCCTGTCTGGCTGCAAGAGAGAGGGGACAATGTTCTTCACGCATTGATCCAGCAAAGACCAACGCTGCGTTTGGAATGGTTCGCTTGTTAAAGCATTCTCTATTTACTACATAGCATTTGCTATATAGTCAACTGACAGAGGAATGATCATGGATCAATCAAAAGATTTATCACCAAGAATCTGAACAACACTGCAATGGCTGATACACTACAATTCACTGTTTTTTGTAATACGGTGCAATTCTAAAAACAGCGCAACATAAAATGTTCACAGAATTTACAGACCAGATGAACCAATGTGAATGAGAAAGCACGCTTAAGAACAGCGTGAATAGGCCAAGCACATTCTGTGAATGTGCTTGGAGGAAACATTCTTAAATGGTATGAATATGGAGAATATTCTGGAACAATGTCAAGGAGGCACAACACTATAGAACAGGGTGAATGAGGCAAATATTGTAGAACAGTGTGTAGGGATGGAAAAGAACATTGTAAATGGGGAAGAACATTCTAGAATATCTCCCCATTCATGCTGTTATGAATGGGGAGATATTCTAAAACAGTGTAAAAACATGTCTAAAACATGTTTACATGCAAAGATTTTTGCCAATCCGATTGAATATATTCCGATTATAGATTAAGACTGAGGTGTTTATATCTCACTCTACTCAACAATCTGATGAAAATCTCCATTTACATGCATTCTACAGTAATCTGATCCAAAATTACGCACACGTGTAGAGTACCACTAAGTGTAGACTGGCTAGACTCATGAGCATCACGTGAGTCCAGTCAGAGTGAGATGAGCAGCAGTAAGCAGTGTTTGTGTTTTTAGTTGCTTTAAAATTATTGCACACTCAGGAAAACGTACTTCACGTGCTTATTAAGGAAGGGGCGAGAGGAAGATGTCATGTTCTGAGACACAACAGCTGTGAGTTTCTGCTCCCGCCATGTTGAACGCTATAAACTTTCGTTATAATGCAACGCACATGTGCAAGAACGCACTTAAACTTTCCGATTGGGAATGTAATCGGATTCAGGCATTTACATGGTTATTATTCTTCTATTTAATGGATTATTTACAAGATTACCCACCTCTTTCAATTGGGTCGAAATTGTATTCTGAATGGCCTCAATTGGACATATTCTATTCCGATTGAGCTATTAGTCGGATTGTTAACGGGTTATTAAGCTGCATGTAAACATGCCTAGTGTGAACAGAGAGAAGGTTATGAAACAGTGTGAACAGAGAGTACATTATAGAACTGTGTGAACAGGGTAGATTATTCTGGAACACTATGAAATAAAGAGAACATTTTAGAGCATTGTAAAGTTTCCCAGCAATCCCACTCAGGTTCAGCACAGTAACCTTGTGTTTTTATTTGCAGAATGCTGGAGAATGTTGGGTCAGTGTGCTCTGGGTTTAACACACCTCTCCCTTTAAGACTTCTATACATCTTGTGTTTCAGACAAAATTCTCTAGTTTTTAAACTCTAATTTTTATTCTCATTCCTCTCTACCTGGTTCATAATATTACAAACCTGCAATCTGAGTTTTTAAATACGACTCTACAAAGAATGTGGTTAACTGACCAACTAATTACCAAAATCTAAATGTGAGTGCAGATGGAAACTGACATTACTTTAGCATGAGAGCAGTGTAAGAAGGTGCATTGTGGGCTTTCCTCCAGTACCCTGATAGGCTGCATCTGTTGCCTTTCTCTTCACTTCGGCCTCTTCCTCCTCTTGCTTTCTGCTCCTAATGGACACAGAGGCATTGATAATACCATGCATCATTTTGTGCTAGATATGGAAAGAATTCTAGATATGGAAAAAAAGATTGGTTCTATTTCCCCAGAAGCACTATAAGGTTCTTACGTAACAGAGACAGCCTTAGCAATTAACTATTAAGAGTTCAGATGCTACATGATGTAATACATTGTGATGACATTTATTTTTGAGGAACTGCTGAGAGAGCACATATAGTGGCGCTTACTGTACAATGTCTCCCCATAATTCTTCTAATTTGGAGTCCAGGTGGCCTGCATGGATCAGCTCTGCCTCTCTTTTCAGCTTCCTGAGGATATAGAGCAGGTGAGTATGACCTAAGGCAATGACTAGAGACACAGCAGGTATATTTGTAAGAGAGACTATATTTGTAAGTGTGAGCTATGAGCACCTGTGCTTCTCCTGAGTTTCTTTGATAAGCTTCTTTAGCTCCTCAATCCGTTCTGCTGTGAGCCTTCGCACAATGACATCCTCCACTGTCTCCACCACCTCTCCCTTTTCACCTCGCTTCCTCCTGTGTATTCACGAGTAAGCCCAGTGACTCTTTGGTCTTTGTGTATATACATATATACACGAGCCAGTCACCTTTTTCACTGCTCGTGTATATATGTATATACATGAGCAGTGAAAAAGGTGACTGGCTCAGAAACAAGTCCCAGTGTAATTTTTTTGTAATTTTAACACGAAAATTCTAGTGTGTTGTGGTACAGGCATCATTCCTATGCAATTATTTAGTTCAACATCAGTGTTTCAACAATTAGTCATCTTGGCTAATGATGTTAAAAAACCGTTGATTACTAAACGTAGCAGACATCTTCTTTTGAAACCCTACATCTATTATAAACAAAGGCCACTTTGCACATGAATTGTGTTCTGCTAGCACCAAAAATGCATGTCGTACCTACACACCAATGGTTATGGAAGCATTTAGGTATCAAAATTAAAATGAAAATGTAATGTGTGAATAAAGCTACACATAAAGCCTGTGTAAATGAAATGTCACTACTAGTGCACCAAATGGCAAAAATAAAATCACAGTATTAAATATGAATTTCCATTTTGAGCTCGACATTGCATATATGAGTTGGAAATTTAAATGCAAACAGACAGATACGCTGCCATTTCACATATTACATTTCCATTTTATATACATTATACATGGTGACCACTTGCGATGTAATTTGCAGGTTACAACGTTCCAGAGAAATTACCAAAACTAAACTAAGTGGTAGCTGATTTTTTTCTTTTCTCTAATCGGTAACGATATTTTGGTTCTGATTGGCCTATAACAATTAAAACATTTTGGTTCCCCTTTGGTTATTTTGAGAAAAACAATTCGACATAACAGCCAGGGTGTATCCTGCCTTCCGTCCAGTAAGTGCTGGGATAGGCTCCAGCATGGAACGCTCTGGGAACCATAAAACAAAACCTTCCGTTATGGTTTCATGAGAACTAACAAGGAACGTTAGCCAAAGGTTGCCTTAAGATTTTCTTTTCCATATGCATAAACTAACGTTCCAGGGACGTTCACGGGAGGTCATCTCATAATGCAGTTGTGTACAGAGAGAGAGACAGGGCAGAGGGAGGCAGAATAAGAGAAGTTGTCTTCAAAGGTCGCATTTAGACTGAATTTTTGCAGACTATTAAATAACGTTCTCGTGACGTTTCCTTACTCTCATATAACGAGCGTGTACAGAGAGAGAGAAGGACTGGGCAAGACAGCATGGGAGAGATGTGTGTACATTTTCGCCAAAGGTTGAAGATTTATTTTTAATCATATAACCCAACGTTCCCCTAACGTTTTTAATCGTTAAGTAACCCATAAACGTGCGTGTATTAAATATAATAAGACACGCTTTTGGTGGATTTTTAATGGAAAATTCTCCATCTCCCCATACCAGACGACTGCCGGATCACCTTCGTTAGATTCCCCGTTTAGTCAATTAGTTTAGTAAAATCCGTAGGTAAGCTAAAGTTACTGTCTTGTCTACATTTCCGTTCCACCTTAAATGAAGCGCCAAGATGCAACAGCTGCATAATTTAAGGTGGAACGGAAAAGAAGCCGACCTCAGCTTTGCGAGCTCTGTGACGTTCACAGCCGCGCGCTGCGAAGAGGAGCTGTGGCGTCGTTTAACCGTCCAACTGGCGCTCTACTTTCGACGGCGTCATTCCTGGTGAGCAGTACTTGTGTTTTTATTATAAGTTTTATACTTGCTGTTTATCAAGCCATTCAATTGTATCATGTTTCTTAGTGTTCTAATAATTATTTATATCTGCCGCCTCCTTTCCAAGTTAACGCTAGTTAACTAGCTAGCTAGCTTTAGCAAGCTAGTTACCTTAGGCTAGCTAAGTTAGTTTTTAGTCAACTAGCTAACATATTCAGAAATGGCTTAGATTAATGGGTAATACGTTAGCGTTTTTAGCTTTGCTGTAACAGAACTCATATACACAATTAACAATGTAAAGAAACATGGTGATAAAAATAGCAAGACCGTGGTGGTTAACCATCAGTTGGTGTTATTTAGTGTGTTAACGTTGCTGCTGTTTTTCACCTCTCGCTGTCTCTACCGTATCTGTGCTGTTACTGTCACGTTATCTGATTTAGCCAAAAAGCCTATGAGCTGAGCTGTGCAATCCGGTTGCTTCTGATCAGGGAGGTGTCCATAGTCACGCCAAGTCTGTACAGAGATCCAAGCCTGAACTCCTTACTGAAATTTGATGTAAGTGTAATCTTTATGCATTCTGGGTTGCCTTTTTTGCCACTTAACCTACACTGGGTTTCCCTTGTATGTGGCCACTAACGTTACATGGACTTTGCTCATGTCATGTACTTTTCTTTTTACTGCAACGTCACTTTTTACTACTTTACAATTATTTTTTCATGTTATGATTTTGAGATTTTGTTCTATAAGTTATATTGTTCTGTACAAAATAGGTGTGTTAAAGAATCATGATTTCAGTTCTAAGACAAAAAATTATGATTTGAATTGTGCAGTCTTATGCTAACACAGACCTTGCTGTGCACAAATTATTTGTTGGATTTTATCAGACAGACAGAGAGGCTTCGCTCTTAAAAGAATGTTCTGGTGAGCCTTGAGCTTGAGATCTGTAATATGAGAGCTGAGTGCTACAATGGCATTGCTAACATGCAGGGCGCTTACAGAGATCTCGCCAAAGATCTGCAAAAGATATATGTGCATATATATCGCTGCTGTTGGAACAAAAAAATCATATCTCTATTTGGTCGTTTTTCAGTTTTTGACATAATTTAAAAATGCCTGTTGTTCTTTAGACTATGTGTAAATTTCATGATGAATGGACCAAAAAAAACAGCCCAAAATTGCTTGGAGAAATGTTTGGTTCCGTTGACTTACATTAAAAGTAAAGTATGTTTTTTGCTTCTACTGTAAAGTTATGAGGTTTTGTTCTGACAGCAGTGATACACACGCTATACATTTAGTGATGTACAGATTTATGCAAAAGGGCACACCTGGCCAAATTGCATATTTTTTTTTTTAAGTGAAAAGAAGGAGACACAACATCTGCAGCAAACTTTTTAAAAAGTAACATTTTTTTTGCAATTAATTAGTTAATCTTCTGCAATTACTGTATATTTAATCAACCTAAAAATAGTAATTGTGGCACGTGCAAAAATGAATTAATTTAATTCAAGTTAAATTAACAAAGCCTTAATTAACTTGTAGGACTGGTTAGGCAAGTCAAGAAATTTTAATTGTCTGCTGATGAGAATTCCAGAACATAATAAATTATCTGACTCTTCAAACCTTTTGCTAACGCTCAACAACCATGAGCTCCTCTAAGCAGCTGGCAGAACCCTTGAAAATAAAGCCAATTGATGCCTGCTAAGCAGGGGAATGCTATAAAAAGATAATAAAGTGCTTCCAGCTTGAAGTTTCCACTGTCCACAGAAGTGCCGGTGCACCATTCTGTTGTGCAGTGCTGCTTGCACAGACATGATCTGCACAGAAAAGTCATTGGAAGGACAGTTTACTTGAGACCTCATCACAAAAGTCAGTGTCTGAAATATGCATCTAGATAAGCCAGAGGCATTTTGGAAACAAGTGCTGTGGACTGATAAAATAGTTTACTATGAAACTTTCAATTTAAGATGACCTGGCTTCAACCTTCAGAAAGTGGATAAAATCACACAGCATGGCTAGATACAGGTTGTGGTTGGGGTTGTGATGCTAATAAAGTTGGAACTGCCCCTCTCTTCAGTGTCAAACACTGAGCGAAGTCTGGTCAATATTGTTCAAGGTGTGAGAAGCTGTCTGGAGTGAAACGTGTGGAGCAAACTAACAACTTAAATTTAAAGTTGTCTGGGACCCTGTTTAAGATGTGGGAGCTAAAGTTGGCTTCTTATTTGCCAGCTTGTTCTGCAGATTTCCCATTATACCGTAAATGGTTCCACAGTTACATTGTGGCACTTGTACAAGCTGTAGCATTTAAGGTGGAACAGAACATTTGATGAAGAAGTAGGTGAATTCACTTCAGCTTCAGTTAAAGATGATCAACCATGCTTGTTGACAGTTTGTTTCCTTAGGAAGGGTATGAAAAGTGCCAACATCCCCTTCACAGCCTGGAAAGGTACATTTCTGCACATAGTCTGCCATTTTCCATGGCTGTAGCTACATTGTCGCTTCATTCATTATTTAGGATGTATATTCTTATTAAGGATTTTTATATGTTTTACGTATTGTAAATTTATTAACTCTGAAAAAAAAATTAAGAGGAAACATTATTTGCTGAAGTAAGCAATATGTCAAGACTCATCTTCAGTCAGAACCACTGTCTGCAAACCACTTTTCTATCTCCAGTAGTAGTTGTTTCTGCCACTAGCTGTTGCCAAAAGCCAGTCGTTTGAAAAAAATTGTACTTGTGTTAAAAATGTGATATGTTTAAAACAATATTTTATGTGATGTGTTTTAAGTTTTTTTTTTCTTTGTGTTTTTTATTAGAGCATTTCTGCACCTGTTGTCTTAGAGCCTGTTTACAGCTTGCATTAACAAGCGTTTAATGTCTGGACCATATCTGGCTGTACTTTGACCAGATTCCATTTACACTTTTCACCAGAATGTGTCCCCAGTGTGATCAGAACCGATTTAACTTTACCCGCATAAAAAGAACATCAACAAATACACTGTTTCTGTTTTAGTTTTGTTTCCCTCTGTTCGATATGAGTCTTGGACACTTTCATTAGCCCAGAGTGCAAGAAGGCTCTTAGTGTTGGGATAACTCCAGCTTCACTTATCCTCCATCTTTCAGTTCATTGTCTGTTCTCTTAACTGTTAGTTAGCAATTAGCAGCCACATTTCCGTTCATATAATTGTATACAGATTTCAAAAAAGCATTCCTTTTATACTTGTGTTAAATGCGGTCAAGGTCTGTTCCCGTCCACCTTCAAATGTGGTTTGAGTGATCCAATCTTAATCCAATTACAGTGCATCCTGGGGATGTTCACACGTGGCTTTTCATGCAGCCAAGTGAAATCCAATCCGATCCGATCACAGAAAATGCATGTTGATCCAAGGTGTAAACAGGTCCTTAGAGACATTTACTTTTCCTTTAATTGTCATGTATCAATAGTACTTAAGCTATTAATGTCAGTATTGCTTGGTAGCACCATGGGTTTGGGGCACAATAGCTGGGGGGCCAGCCCCTTAATGCCCACCCTTGGTGCTAGGTGTGCTCTAGGAGAAGAGCTGGTATTGACTGAACTTGACTTACTTTGGGGCCTCTGTGCTCTCCAGGAGCTCTGAGTACTGTGATGCACAGTGCTGAAAGAGAGACAGAAATAAGAACATACAAAGATGCCTGTCAACAAAGTGTTCTTTAATAGAATCAAGCTGCCTACTGCACTGTATTTCACCAACCTTCTGAGAGAACCAGTCCGGGGGTCGTCCAGGTTCTGCAAACGGCTTAATGGCTCGACTAACGGACACCCTGGAAGAATAAAAGACAAGTATGGAAAAAACTCAACTAAGATTCTGCCTAACCAGGCAGAAATAAGACGAGGGGTTTCAGATTTAACTCATAGCCTCTGGTAGGGGTGTAACGATGCTCTCAGCCCACATTTGATTCAATCCACGATACTAGGCTCAAAGTTTTGTACTGTCACAATATTTTGAACACTAGGGCTGGGAAGCAAGAGGAGTGATGGAGTGAGTTGTTGGTTGGTGCTGATTGGTTCATTCTCCACAGTTTTGCATTGTCATATTACAGTGTCATGCTACATCGTTACACCCCTACCCTATAGGAAGGGTATCTTAGTAGAGTATACATGGCATTAGGAATCACCAGTTTTGGTCTCCACTCTTCATGACGGAGGAGGCCAGGCACAGCTTCTCTCTAATGGACCAAGGCTCGGGTGGGCCCAGCAGCAACTTGTGCTCTGTCCAGAGAAAGTTAAAGACAGGGCTAGAGGACATTGCATGTTCAGCCATTTCAAGTAGGCAAGGCAGTGTTTGTACCGAATCTAAGCTCTGGAATATAAATTAGTCCTGCAACATCCTCATTCTGCACAATCCAATCAGTATCATGGCTAAGCGCAGTTGACAGGAGCACTTGGAGGAAAAGGTTAATCATGAACTGGCTCGTCGTCTCCATCAGTTTGAAACAATAACGAAGCCATTTTGCCTGCCGTAGTACAAAATGTGCATCACCAGCCTTGACAACGTACGATTTCGTGTAAGTGTTTGTAGGTGCTTAGCAGTAGAATATTGCAGTACCCTTGTCGCACAGTTAGCCTGCTATGTCTGATCTGCTGTAAACGTACCGTTAGCTGTCATCTTGGAGTCTCCTGCGCTTCAGCCAATGAATATCATTCTCATCTATGATGACTGCGATTCCTGCGAGATGCGCATGCAGACAGCTGCATCGGACATGTATGAAAGCATCAGTGAGGCTTTCATAAATGCCCGCAGCTTTCACAACAGTAGCCCTCCCCGCTTCCACATCGCAATCCCACAGTGGTTAAAAATGCACCCAGAATTACTTACTGCCAACTCCGCTCGCCATTTTGTCATGACTGGACTGGACCCACCGCTCCTCGCATGACAGGCGCCTGCTTATCAAATGTAACCGGGCATATCCGGTGTGCGAATTCACCACTGAGTCTTAAAACGGGAATAAAAGTCCACTAAACAGGCGGTCTTTGGGATATCCTCTAAATCTATCAGTGCCTGGTATATCTGTGTTTTTAATATGCTAGTGTGAACACATGTTCCGATCAGGATTCGGTTCGAGGATCAGATGACAATCTGTTGCGTTAACTGTCAGTCAGTGTGCTATTTTTGTCCTGCTGAAAATAGTTTTCTGCATAAATGTCTTTTTCTACATTGGTGTGAAAGAAAAGTGATTTGATTGAACGGTGCTGAACTAACCACATCAGCCTACTACTGTTGTTCTGTGGTGTGTAATGCCCGAGTACCAACAGTGAGCTCATTTCAGTTCTGTAATCAGTCCATGATTTTGACTGCCATCGGTCAACCAGTGCACGTGCAGATATTAACTTTACATCCATTCTACGCAAGAGTTAACACAGTCCATAACTGTGTAACCGAGATTGCCTTGGGTCGTTAAGTAGGTCATTTCTGTGATTATGTGAAATCGGATGTTCAGTCTGCTTCTAGTCTCAAACGTCAGGTAGAAGAAAATTGAGATGTCTCAGAAAATGAACAACTGAACAATTGGCTACCCAGCTTTTATTTTGACCGAGAACACCCACCGGAAGCTTCACCCTGTCAGCTCGCTAAAATCTTAGAGTAACATCTTTTACATTGTTCTGCTGTGTACTGTTATAATGGCACAGGACCTCAGGGCTCTTCACGCTCCCGACACGTCTGTCTGATGTTATTGGCACCACTTTACAGTGTTGATCTCCGGCTGTCAGCTTTTGAAGTCTCGCTGTGTAGTCCTCATGAACGCTATGCTGAAATCGCGGTGCATGTCGGGGGATTAGCTCAAATGGTAGAGCGCTCGCTTAGCATGCGAGAGGTAGCGGGATCGATGCCCGCATCCTCCAAATTATCACCTTTTCAAACGTTTTATGTCGCCACAGTTTGGCGATGCTGTAGCATCACCGCAGGAATGGTCATACTGAAGCAGCTCGTCAGTGGGGAGATTCTCTTGGTTACAGCGCAGCTTCTTGCAGCAGAAAAACACCAGGGTGTAACGTTAGTTAGTGAAAATGACTTTTCCGAGTTCTTCGCGGAGGTACAGGTGTTCTTGTTGTGAAGCCGCATCACATAAGTGAGATCAGAGATCTAGAAATGGCTCCACACATAGAAATGCTTTCACTGAATGTATGAAATGTGTAACAATAATGCACCTGTGTACTGAAATAGAACATAAAAAATAATAATGTAATTTTATAGGTTTTATTTTTTTTTTTTAACTGTGGCACTTTTTTAACAGTTTATTCAATGCTATTGTATCAACCGTTCTTGCAGTCTAGCATGTCGTTAAACATTATACATTCAGCAACAATCATAAACCTGTGACATATTGGTTATGTGGGTGTTGTACACCACCTGGTGGTCGTGAGGGGGATTAGCTCAAATGGTAGAGCGCTCGCTTAGCATGCGAGAGGTAGCGGGATCGATGCCCGCATCCTCCAAACGAACGTTTTTGCGGACATTTTACCGTTGTGAGATGCTTAATTCACAACCGAGTTCACTCATATTGTCCACCTAGCTCCTGTAATGCCCCGTCCGGCAACCTAAACAACACTAACGCACACGGTAACATAATTAATTGTTATTTATTATAATTTATAATTATTAATTATTGATCATTTAAAGCTTTGCGAAGCAGAGAAAAACAGTGTAGTAGTACTTTTATATGTAAATAATTAACAAGCAACCAGGTGTAACATTTTTACTGTTTATTTATTTCCAAAGATATAAGACTTTTAGCCAAAACTAGAACTTAACATCCAAGAACATCCTCATTGCAGAGACGCGTTGGAGCCTTTACTACACCACAAATGGGACTGGACAGGAGAAATGGAAGAAAGTGTTTAGTGGGAGGCTTAGTGAGTGGTATACGTCCTAAATCTGTTTTCCAACCGCCATAAAACTTAAACAGACCGTAAAAAACGCTCGGTGAGTGGGTGTCCGCCAGTGCGCAGGACAGCACAGCACAGCAGGCGGCAGCACACAACCCGGCATGCTGTCAGCGACGGAACAGAAGAAGAAGAGTACTGCGCGGAGAGAGGAGGCCGAGCACGCCGGGAAAGTAGCGACTACGAGCAAAACGGTATTGTTTAGATTGACTTTTATATTATAGCGGTTTTACTGATAAAACTGTTATACCGTTTAACAGATTGTGAACGGGCCTGCTGTTGTGCTTCAGTTAATTTTTACTTGAGTCGAGGTTGTTGAGAAGAAGATGGAGTTCAGGGTTGTGAAGGCCTGTGTGTTTATTGAGCAGCGCCATTTGTCTTTGTTCTTGTTTTTCACTGCTCGGTTTGAGGTACAACAGCCTCTCTAAACGCAGCTAACCGGCGCGGTTCACTGCGCTGTGCTTATATTTGAACTTTTTATAATGAAGTGTTCTCACTAGCTTAACAAGTGAAAATGTCAGATTTAACTGGCTCACTGTTGACTCAGTGGGCTTTGTTCGCCCAGGTGCTACAGCTAGGCCCCATTTGTGCTAACAGTTTGGCGTACCGAAAGGGGAAGCCCACCGATTTTTCAAATTGTGTGCGTAATTAAATGGTTAGCATGTTAACAAAATCATTCAGAATGGTTTGGTGTAAAATGATTTGTTTTAGAGAAACTTAGCGAGTCAGAATTGTTCACTGTGGTGCTGAAAGGAACCCAACCAGACGTACGAGGAGTTGAACGCCTGTAAAAGCTCGGTCCCAGAAAGTATTACAGGATGTTTTGTAACACTTTTCTGATAACGTTTTGGTCGTAAACTATTTTAAACAACATATTTTAATCCATTCGTAGTAGAGGGATACATGAAGGGTGTTATAAGGCAAAATAGTCCCCAGAGAAAACTTTTTTTTAACCATTATTTTACCATCATCAGCATTACATACAAAAATCAGAAGACACCACTGTAAAGAAATCTGAGTATGTAAGTTTGTCTACAATTAACCATTTTCACACCAAACCACTTTTTGTTTATGACTATATGTGAATGTCTCAACCACTGAATTATACAGAAAATTTAAGAAAATCCATGATATTCTCTTTTAACTGGAAAGTGGATGGCCACAGTTCTGATCGTTGTCCGTGTTGTTGCTTTTAATAACAGTTGTTGTGTAAATATGGCTGAAGACGAGGGATTTGTTGTGAGAGTCCGGGGTTTGCCATGGTCGTGCTCTGTGGATGAAGTGGGCAGATTTTTTTCAGGTAAGAAAGTGGGCTTGCTGTTTCTAGCTTAAATTTTCTTCAGCTGCACACTATAAAACTCTAACTTATTTTTCCAACATTTGTTTTTTTTTCTTTCAGATTGCAAAGTTGCTAATAATGGCACAAACATTCACTTTACCTACACCCGAGAAGGCAGACCAAGTGGAGAGGCTTTTGTGGAATTTGAGTCAGAGGAAGACCTGAAGATTGCTCTCAAAAAAGACAGAGAAACTATGGGGCATAGATATGTGGAAGGTATAGAACTGATTAACCTACTTTTGACAGTGTTGCTTCATTCCTGTATTCTTGTTCTGACCAAGTGTTGTTTTTTTTCCTTTCAGTATTTAAATCAAACAATGTGGAGATGGACTGGGTTCTTAAGCACACAGGACCAAACTGCCCAGAGACAGAAGGAGATGGACTAGTGCGGCTGCGAGGCCTGCCTTTTGGATGTAGCAAGGAGGAAATTGTACAGTTCTTTTCAGGTGTGTATAAGCAGTATTAACCACCATTTTACACTACCGGATTCTTAAAAGGTACTGATGGCAGTACTTATGCTGTACTGCTTATATTTGAGTTACTGAGGCAGTAGTGAGTATTGGGTCTTTTTTAAGTGAAATTCCACTGATTGTTCATTGTTTCTGCGTAATTCAGACATTGAGATGTAAACAGAGTCATGCAGAGTGATTTGGTCTCAAGTGGTGCACTGTGGAAAAACTTATCGAATCAGGGGTTGCAAAGTCTGCAACAAATTATAGCCTATGTATGTGTGTTTTTAATATATATGTGTGTGTGTATGTGTGTGTGTATGTATATATATATATATATATATATATATATATATATATATATATATATATATGTATATATATATATATATATATATGTATATATATATATATGTATATGTATGTGTATGTGTGTGTATATGTATAGGTATAATTTCATTCCATGTATAAATTTCTGCCATGCATATATTTTAATAATGTGTTTGGCCAGAATCTTTGCTATCGTAAAATTATGTTTTAGGGAGCAGGCAGAGTATTGAGATCATAAGGACCTTTTTAGCTTTTATGTTAGACGTCTTGTTCTTTTCACCGTCGCAATGTACAATTCTGTCTCGCCAAATTTCTCTAGAACAGAGCATTGTAAGTCAAACCACTCTGAATGACTCAATCGAATTATGCAGAAATGTAATAATTGAATTATGCACAAACATTGTTAGTCCCCCCTTTTAATGTGATCTGTTGGTCCATGAGTTCTTTTTTTTTTGTTTTCTTTTTTTTTAAACGTTGACTGAAGGACACCACCTCTTGGACTGGATGTTGATCCTTAATCTCAGAACTAATGTGTGTGATCTGTGCTTTGTTTTAAATTAAAAAATGAAAAGAATGACTGGGCATGTGATTTAATATGTCCCCTGCTGGGGTTATCTGTCCTTGGGTTGAAGGGTTGGAAATCGTGCCAAATGGGATAACATTGCCGGTGGACTACATGTGGAGGAGTACGGGGGAGGCCTTCGTGCAGTTTGCTTCACAGGATATAGCTGAAAAGGCTCTAAAGAAACACAAGGAAAGAATAGGGCACAGGTGGGGATGGTTGGCGGGTTCAGCTGCTTTTCTTGTGGAATTCACCTTCTTTATTAAACTCTTAGGCCTTGTTTGCTGGGCACAAATTAAGCCTTGCTGAAGACAAAAGTGCCTTTTGTGGATGATGCCCACAGGCTGTCTAATTTAGTCTTGACTTAATTTGTGCCTGGAAGACTGGCTTGTAATGTGTTGGCGCTATACCTGATTAATCTGCACTCCGACATGCACACGCCTCCTGCAGAGGATTTTTTCACTATTTGTGCGGTATATAAATATTATTTCTAATTCATTAACTATTTAGAGTTATGTAGTGTTCTTTAATGTGTTGAGACTATGTGTAGGCCATAATATCAATGTAAGCACTGTTGTGCATGCAACAAGTGCCTATTTGCTGAGCCATTAATGAATGCATGAATATATATATATATATATATATATATATATATATATATTATATATATATATATATATATATATTCTTTCATTTACTGGTTCAATCTAGGCCTGTAATGCTACTTTCTTATAAATGTTAGGATTTTAGCTAAAATTTAAATAACAGAAGTAATGCGTTGTCAAGGACTGACACACTCACACTGCTGTGCTGTTCGTTTAGCGGTAAGAAGGTTTTTGTTTTTTTTCTTTCTGTGCTTCTTCAAATGCACATCTGATTTGAGACAGACTGAAGCTTTGGGTTCTGTTAGCTAACAGAAAATTGAAGAGTTGCAGAGTGGTTCTTGGTGTGGTTTGTGCCATTAGTGATCTTGTTTTCCTAACTAGCAATACAAAAGGTGGTATTCAGAGACATTTAATTAATGTTAAATGCTGGAATCTTCGACCACCAAGCCACATGGAAATAGCTGTATGCAAAAGGATCCACAGTGCAGTTGTATTTGTAAAAGTTCATTGTTATCTAGATTTGGGAAAAAAAAAAAAAACTGTGTATGCTGAGTCTTTGCATTAGCACTTGTAGCTCTGCTCTAATGCCTGTCTGTGTGTATGTAGGTACATTGAGATCTTCAAGAGCAGCCGTGCTGAAGTGCGAACACACTATGAGCCTGCCCGTAAAGGCATGGGAATGCAGAGACCTGGCCCATATGACAGACCTAGCGGAGGCGGCCGAGGCTATAACAGCATGAGCCGTGGGGGATCTTTCGACAGGACGCGGCGTGGAGGCTATGGAGGAGGTGAGATCTCTTGTCGACCTACAGGATTAAACCATTGTGGATTGCTGTGGTTAAAGGTTTTACAGATTTGTGTGCATTTGAAATGTAAGATTTATATTTTCTGTTTTTCATGACTTGCTTTTAGCTGATGGATGACTCTTGTTGTACATGTAATTTGTGCCCCCCCCCATCTTGCTTATTAAATTTAGGTATGTCAGATGGGCCCTACCGTGATGGTGGTTCCAACTTTCAGAGCACAACTGGCCACTGTGTACACATGAGAGGGCTTCCCTACCGTGCCACAGAGAATGACATCTACAGTGTAAGCATGTAACATGCAACATGCATGAAGCTTGCGTGCACAGCTGATTTCAGGCGTTGTTTTTTTTTTTATTAGTGTTCCACCAAAATTTCTAAGCTAGGAAATATCTCTTTCCTCGTGCAGTTCTTCTCGCCTCTAAACCCGGTGCGTGTTCACATTGAGGTGGGTCCAGATGGACGGGTGACCGGAGAGGCTGATGTGGAGTTTGCCACGCATGAGGATGCTGTGGCTGCCATGTCCAAGGACAAGGCCAATATGCGTGTGTACTGCTGCATTAGGATTGATTTTGTAATTTCATCTCACTGTTTTCACTTTGGCTTATTGGTTTCCTTTTTATGTTTTCAGAACATCGTTATGTTGAGCTGTTCCTAAACTCAACAGCAGGGGGCAGTAATGGAGGCTATGGAGGCCACATGGTTGGAGGAATGGGTGAGTTGGTGGAGTGGGTCTGGTATATTAACACCCTGGTGGGAGAATAACTTGTTTGCTGCAAATGAAAATAATACAAATAATCCATCTCTCAACAGTGACTGATGGTGGCCTAGCTGTCTGCTTTAAGACATGTCCATCAGCTTAGAATGGTTATAGCTTGTGAGGTGTCATAACACTTTAAACATGGTCCATATGAATTTTTGTTCTCCATTGTTTGCAGGTAATCAGTCCTCCTATGGGCATAGTGGTCAGCAGATGGGAGGTGGCTACACTGGAGGGTATAATAACCAGTCCAGCATGGGGGGATACAATGATTATGGTAAGCATGATCTGTGTGGCAGTCACTTTCCATAAAGCACATCAACTTGTGTATCCATGAGCTCTGAACCGTGACTATAAGAGACGTAACATGCATCTGAAAGAGGTGATTGAATTGCATTGATTTTGGAATGTTGTGTTATAATTATCATTGTCCAGTAAATTTGGATTACTTTTTTTATTTTTTGGCCAAAAATTTGAATGTTGTTTTCAAATGTTACAATCTCCCTGTTAAATATTTTTTTATTGTGAAAATGGTGAAAAGTTTCTGAGGTAAACTTGTTTTAAATTAAAAATAACTGAATTGAACCAAAGCAGTCAAATGATGTTAAAATGTGAAAATCCATGATGTAATAAATATTTATTAAATTGTTGTTACTCCTCAACAGGATATGTTTCTAATCTGCTCAATATAGTGTTAATGCGTAGTAAAATGATTATAATTCATTCTAGTATATACTTTATAACTTAGTCATACTCACTGCAGTTTAGTGCCAACAGTTAAATGCTGCTGCTGTTGCTCCACGCCAGCCCCAACATGTGCTATTCTTTCTTATCAGGTAATCAAAACAACAGTTACTATGGCAGCAGTCGCGGCTCCATGGGCATGAACGGCAGCATGAGCATGGGCGCAGGGTGGGGCATGTAGAGCTGTGACGTAGCTGAGGCTGAAGAGACATTTTGTGTGGAATACCAGGAGGGACACTGTTTGTGAAGAGGGTCAATGAGTTTGTTCCATGTGCGGAATGAGGAAAGAACCTGAACATGTCCCACCCCTCCATTCAGAGTGTTCACGTTTTTTGTTTTTTGTATTGTGAATACAGTCAAAACAGTAAAGTACTATGGGCTCCTGTTTTTTTTAGCCTCATGAGCAAAGTATATACTTGTAAATACATGGAATGTCCAATACAGGGACTGAAAGACACTTTCCAATTCTGTAACATTTACGTTGATTATGGATTTTTTACAATTTGTAGAAGGTTGTAAATTTTTTTAATGAATTGGAAAAAGAATTGGCAAATTTGATACAAAATGCTGAGATTTTAATTTTTGAATTGTTAAAATCCTTTCTTCACATGGTGTATGACTGATTTCTGTAACACATGGTAAATAAAATTATTTGTGGTTACATCATGAATGGCGTCTTCTGTATGACACGTTTAACTGAGCCAAACCAAGATTCTTGCTTAAGAATTGGTTTATTTAAGTGAGGTTCAGTTTGTTTTCACTCCTGGTTGCTGGTTATCCTCTTTTACCTTGAACTCTCCCAAACATAATGCTCTTTTCCAATGAATTGGTCCTTTTTTTCAAAATATGTCCAAAATAAGAGCTTCAAGTTGGTCATCTGGGGTTTGAGGGAGAGGTGAGGTTTGATTTGTTCGAATCGTGTTTATTTTTTTTTATTTATTTATTTTTTCTTCCTGCTGTTGAAGGTACTCTCAACACAAGTTCAGTGCCAGCTATATTTTTCTTGCCTTGCTTGTTTTATTGTCCAGCTTTCGTGCTCATAAAGAACCGAAAAGACCATAAGCTGGACAACTCTGTTCATTCTTTGTACAGACAAGCTGTTGCGTTCAAAGATCTCTTCAATCCCCTTCATCCTTGGTCTGCCAAATGCCAACTGTATCATTAAATTATATCTTTTTGAATGTGGTTGTATGTATAAAAAAATTAAAGCTACAGCTCAATTTAAAGGACCCATATCCTACATCACTTTTTGTTTTTTCAAAAGGCCACGTTACCCTTTTTTTTTTGGTGTATGTACCAAAAACAGTCATGGTTTATTTTTACATGAACAGGTTGTTATTTTGTTAGTGTCTTTAAGAATATGTACATAACCGTTTGTTCTGATTAGCTGCTCTGTATGGTGCCTGATACGTTTTAAAACTTGCTGAAACTTTAAAATGTTTACATACTACGTCGGACTCCTTTATTTTAAGGAAAGCAGAGGGAAAAGAGTTTTTCCATGGAATGGGTCCTTTAAGCTTGATCTGCTATGGTTTAATCTTCAGGCTTGTAGCGATTAGTCTCGAATAGTGTAGTATTAAGTGATGTCATTCTTCAGTTTGTGTGTGTGAGGCAAATGAGAACTGATGTAATTTTGGAAACTGGTTCGTTGGTGTTGCTGAGTCAGGCAGTGCAGTAGATCATGCACAAGGTGGCGCTCGACAGTAAAATACAACTTGCACGTTAGAAAAAAATAACTCTAGAAAAAGATGTTAAACGCCTAAATCGTGCGGATGGGAAAATGAAAATGTGTCATAAGGTCACCTAGAAGCAGCAGGTAAAGGCGTACTTAAATACTTCATTACGACACGTGCGTTCTTGGAAGAATCTGAACGTGTGAACTCGGAAATGTCTGCGGGTTATTTATTTATTTTTTTATGCGCAGTGATTGATTAGGCGTGTCCGTGAATCACGAAGGAAGTTTACACTTTCCACTGGCCCTATATAACAGCAGGGGCAGTGCACTGATGACTTCTTCAGCGTCGCTCAGTGCCAGTGCACCACTGCGCCTCTCCCAGCTCATTTCCACTCGAGCTGAGCACCGAGAACAAGCTGAAGCCTTCAGCTCCAGGACTCACTGGACTCACGACCAGCTCCTCAACCTCTTCGGAATATGAATACTTCTCTACTTGGACTTCTCTTCATCTATTCTCTTGGTGGGTTTTTATTAACACAGCAGGTCTCTGAGTTTTCAGCAGGCGGCTGTATTGTCAGTGAGCAGACAGCTATGTTAGTCTATAAGGGTTGAAGTTCACTGGCTGTGCCTGCCAACTAAATACGCTTTTAAGACGGCTAAACCTGCTTTAATCAACCTCATAAGCGCGAGAGCCTTTATTTTTATGGTTCGTACGTATGATTTTGATCCAGTTGTGTAGTTTTCTTTGCTAACAGACTCACCTGTTTACTTGCTCTTTCTTACAGTTTTCCTCAGAGTGTCTCTCGGCGCGTCCACGGCGGAGCGCGCACTCACGAGTCCCACAGCGGGGAAGCTCTCTTACACTCAAAGTCAGAGTCCCGGCACAGGCCCGCGCAGGGACGAGGACAAATACGATAGCAACGAAGAGGAGCTTTCTGGGGACTATGAGGATGTCCACCCCCAAGGTACAGAAGCCGCAATTCACTTAAGGAGGAATTCCATCGGCTTTTCAACATTTCTGTACAATTAAATTATCAGGACTTAAATAACGTCATACAGAGTGTTTTAATGTGAAATGGTGCATTGAAGAGAAACTTATTGACTCAGGTTTCTTTACAGTGGTGTGGATAAGGAACAAGGCATTTTATTTACTATCCAAAACCACCAGTGAACTTAGATGTGCTCTGAATTTTTATATGTAATGTCGATGATGGTAAAATAGTGGTCTGAAAAAATAACTTTTATTGGGTGTTACATGCCTTACAACACCCTTCTTGCATCCCTCCACCAGGAGTGTATAATAAATAGGTCAAAAGCTATCATAAAACAATGTTTCAGACATTTCATGAAATGGCTGTCTGTGAGGTAGCTTTTATAGACATTATCAGGTCCTTATCACCATGACTTTTTAAAAATTCTGACGTGTCTCTACAAACCACTCTGAATGACTTTGTTTACATCTTAACAATAAAATTCAACAGACATATTGAGAAATCTGTGGAATTCCCCTTTAATGCCTTAAAAGGCTGAACTGTGCACCGTATATGGTTGTCAGTATCCATAGCTATATCGCTTTTGCCAGAAGAAAACCTCGTATCTCCATTTTTTGACGTTTTTCAGTTTTTGACATGATTTGAAAATACCTGTTACCCTTTACATAGTATGTAAATTTTACGATTAATGAGACTAAAAGAAATGACCGAAAATGACTTGGAAAAACATCTGGTTCCATTGACTCACATTAAAAGTAAAGTAGGTTTTTTCCTTCTCTTGTAACATTATCGTTTTGGAGATACAAGGTTTTCTTCCGACAACAGCAATATGTTGGAAAGCTCATATGTAGACATTGATCAGGGGTGGGTAGAATAGCTTAAATACATACTGATGCAAAAGTATTGTTGCTTCTATGAAATAATAATTGAAGTTAAAGTATCCTTCAAATAACAAGTAATAATACAAGAGTGGCAGATCAAAAAACAAAACTATTGGCGCACTAACTTAAAGAACTGCCGCAGAAAATAGACACTATTCTTCTGTTTTTGATTCACATATTTGACTTAAAATTAAATAATAAACTTCAGAAGTCAGCATGGGACCAACCACTGATACCAATATAACATAATGACTCAACATTTCTTTAAACACAAAATGGTATTTTTGTAACATTTTTGTAAATAAATGTTAATGACTCAGATGTGAGTAGAAGGTAGGTTAATTTCCTCACGGTGCTTTAGCGTAAGTAATGGTATTATCATTTGAAAATACTCAGGAAATAAGGCACTGTAATTGTACCTGAGTAAATGTAAATTACTGCTCACCTCTGATTATGATGATACTGTAGGCCACATGAAGAGCATGTTTCCTCTAAACAGCCACCTGAGTCACTGTCTGACACCACTAGGCTTTGTGATTTACAACTTTACAATAAAGTGTAACAATACAACACATTAGCACTGTGGTGTATACTGCAGAAGTTGAGGTAGTATTCGTATTGTAAATGACTATTAGAATTAGGCCTATTTTGACCTACCATAGGCTTCTTTTTTGTCTACAGTGGCATTTTCCACCAAACCTAAGGACTCCTCTGTGATGCCCCTTACACAAAACAGAAGGAGAAGAAAAGGGAAGAAGAACCCCTGTTTGAGGAAAATGTACAGAAACTACTGCATTCATGGGGAGTGTCAATACTTGGAGGGATTAAATCATACCTCTTGCATGTAAGTCCCACAAAGTTATATTACTAGTTAAAGTTAAACTGAAAAGTGTCTTACATTCAGCCAGGAAAACATTAATAAAACATTTATTTTAATAAAACACGATCTTTTTGCTCCCTGTTATTATGCCTCTGCTCGTATATATTTTAACGTTAAATGGGTTCTTCTTGCAGATGTGAGCCTGGATATGCTGGCGAGAGGTGTCACATATTTACGTTGCCTGTTGTTCGTGAGCAACGCTACAACCAGACTGCGGCTTTGGCTGTAATAGCAGTGATCCTGTCTTTGATGTGTCTCACCTTCATTGGCATTATGTTGGCCTTCAGGTTCGGTCCTTTGTCTGTGTACAATCACACTTGGTATAGTTAGTATAGAGTAGTATAGAGCATAGTTTGCTATTGTTTTGCAAAACAGATGAAAAAACAACAGTGTAATGTTCCTTTGCAGATGTCACAAAAAAGGTGAGGACGACGTGGAGAGCGAGGAGAAGATAAAGCTTGAGGCAGCGACTGTACCGTAGTGCTGAGAAAGCAAGGTGAGTACTGTGACTTTGAGTAAAGGGATGAAATTATTCAAGCTGTGAAAATTCTGTGCTGGATGTATTTGGGTGAAATAACGACATTATTCATGAGTATGAAAATTACTTTTGGTTTGTCCTGCATTCGTTATTAATGATCACTTACAATGTTTTATTATAGAGAGAGAAACCATTGGTTTGGTGGACATGCAGAGGGAACTTGTGGCCGAGGGAACTCGTCACTGCTGAGGAATCTGATGGCTTCTGTCAAATTACACGGATGCCAAATACTCGCATGAAGGATATAATGAACTTTGCTTTGAAGAGCTGAGCTTATCTTCCATCTGCAGAACTCAAAAACAAGTCCATCTGTATGAAAAATGTTCAAGAAATGAAGAAAATCCCTGAATGTAGCTGCATCAAAATGTATTCATCATTGTCCTTTCTATTTATTTATTCTTCTCTTAAAGAGAAGATTGCTTGACTGTCATCCTTGAAACACTGAAAATTATTTATTTATTCTATTTATTTTGCTATATAATCATTTTGTATATTTACAGAATGTACTGTGTTTGTCAGATGTACAGTTCGTAAGTAGTTGAACAGAGGCTCTGTACTCCATCACACTGGATTTAAAATGAGATCACTGTCCTGAATAGTGTTCTTCACTCATTCGCTGGGATCTACCTTGGACTGCCAGTTTATTTACTAGTGGTAATCTCATTGTGTTCTTGTTGTCTTGGGTCTCATAATACAGTAGCACAGAGCTGTACAACAAACCAGTGAGCAGCCAGTTATCCAATTATTTACAGTTCCTGAAGTGTTTGTTTTATTTCTAATTCCAATGTGCTTTTGTACAGACACAAATTGTTGTGTCACTGTCCAATTACTCACAGACTGCACTGTATTTTTTTAACTGTACAAATATATTTATTATTGTAAAATCAAGTAACTTTCTAAAAATGACTGCCTTTTATGCTTTATATGTTGTTACGCTACACGTTTGAATTTACATATAAACTGAAAAAGAAGAATGCTGACTCTAATTCAAATGTGTAAATTGGTTCCACATGAATAAAATATATTACATCAACTCAATTCTTGCCTAAAATGGGTGAGGTGAATGGAAAAATTGGGTATTCATGTAGAACTGATGTATGAATTTTAATTAAGTTAGCATTATTGTTTTTTCAGTGTAGGATACCCCTAATTCATCTCAACAGATTTATTTATACACATACTGTGAAAAAAAATGAAAAACTTTGTGGGTTTATTTTGGCGGTATTAGTTTATTTTGTGGATACTTTTGGAAAAAGACTTAAATGAAACATTGCTTTGGTTTCAAGTATATTGAATAAAATGAAAGACTTTCAAAGTTAAAATGTGTTAAACACTGAGGTCAACATAACCTTAAGTATGAAAGCCAGCAGCACCAGTTCCATAAGCAGCATCTGATATTTGAAAGAGCCGTGACTAATTTGTGTGAAAAGGACTTTTATAACTCAGACAGACTCATTAATGGCGAGCCTATCACAGGACTGCAGGGGTCCAGCAGTGAGATGAGTTGCTGGTCCTGATACATCAGCTCTCAGAGGGCTAAACCCACCTGGTTAGTGAATCTGTGGTGCTGCCTCAGCAGCTTTCTTAACAGGTTCTTCTACAGTCTTCTCTACTACTGTCACTGACTACCACCTGGTATAGTATCAATATACTAATCAGTACTAGTACTAATGGTAGTGAATTGTTTTGACTATATTGTTTAGTATTGTAGTATGCGTTTTCTCTTTATAATGCTGTTGTCCACATGCATTTTTATAAAATAAAACAACACGGATGTTTATTTCACTCTGCCAATATAACCAAAACTAGCTAGGTAGATGAAAAATAACTTTGTTTTTCTTTTATAATGAGGAAGTTGGACTGTTCGCTTTTTTTTATGAACAGAGACCTGAGTGGGTCAGAGTAATCTCGCTTTAACTGGGTGGGCCTGCGTTCAATAAGCCACACCCACAATTTGTTACACTATAATTACCTTATTATTATCATTACCTCCGTGACCAACATTTGTCATTTGACAATGAAATCAGTATTTGTCCAGAATTTCCCACGGTAGTGCTAGACATCAGTTTTACAGTTAACAAATGTCAACAAGTACTGCACCACAAACGTTTATTCAGATTCACATTGTGTAATTTATATTCAAAAACAATCAAATGTAGTTCTCACAAGTAAAAGTAAAACCTTCCATCCTTTTATGCAAGAACTGAATTTGAACATAACAGCTCAGTTTAGAAAAATGAATTTTTAATTGAATTTATGCTATTAAAAATGTTGCTCCCTTTAAAATGAGTTGGGAAAAGCCACAAATTCATGGTCAGAACTGAGGGTAACACTTTATTTGGATGGTCCACAGTAGATTCTTTGTAGATGCTCAGTATATCTTTAAATAACATTCAACTAAATATCTATTAAATGCAACTGAACTTAAAGTTGAGTGTGAAAGATTCTATCAAATCTATCCTTGATACTAAACCTAACACTAACCCTAACCTCAAGGCAAAATCTACACCTACTCCTAAACCTAACCCTAACCGTAATAATCTATATAATAATGATAATCAACTATCACCAGAAATGTTGTTATTAATTGAAGTGTCTGTAGATTGTCTATAGGAGACCATCCAAAATGTAATTTCTATAAGTAAATGTTTAATGTTAACTTTAGGCTTAATTTTGACTTTTTAGGTTCAGCATGTCAGATTTCACTTTCTTATATCAAATATCAGATTTTCTGAATTTCTGGTATTAGAAAAGCAGTGGATTAAAGCTAAAATAGCTTGTCACAGCCATACACGTTCAGTCTACATGCAGAGAAATCCTGCATATCATGATCTAGCCTCCTACACGTACATTTTGAGAAACGCCCACCTACAGCACTGTTGTAACACTGCTTTATCAAATAACTTTTATCAAAAAGTAAACACGTACACAGGCTGACGATTGTCTGGTTTAAAAGGAATGCACTTAACCAAACAGGTAACTCCCGCATCTACCTGCATTTTTTTCCCAAACAGTGCATAACCATACACAGCTTATGCTGTGACATTTTATTGTTTTTTGAAAAATATATGCCCATTTTGAATTTGATGCCAACAACATGTTCCAAAAAAGTTAGTGGCAACAAAAGGCTGGTAAAGTAGTGTAATGCTAAAAAAAACGCCTGGTGTCGATTGGCAACAGGTCAGTAACATGACCGGGTATAAAAGAGCATCCCAGAGAGGCTGAGTCTTTCAGAAGTAAAGATGAGGAGGGGTTCACCACTCTGTGAAAGACGAATAGTGCAACAATTCAAGAAGAATGTTTCTTAATGTAAAATAGCAAAGAACTTGGGGATTTCATCATCTATGGTACGTAATAACATTAGAAGATTACGAGAATCTGGAGAAATCTCTGTATGCAAGGGACAAGGCCAAAAACCAGTATTTGCTGGCTGTGATCTTTGGGCCCTCAATCAGCACTGCATTAACAACAGACATGATTCTGTAGTGGAAATCGCTGCACGGACTCAGAAACACTTATGAAAAACACAGTCTATGAAAACAGTTTGTCACTGTATCCACAAATGCAAGTTAAAACTCTAAAATGCAAAGAAAAAAACATATATAAACAGGATCCAGAAACGCTGCCACCTTCTTTGGGCCCAAGCTCATTTAAGATGGACTGAGCGAAAGTGCAAAAGTGTCCTGTGGTCCGAGGAATCAACATTTGAAATTCTTTTTGGAAATCATATACACTGTCTGCCTGCCTGCAGTCCAGACTGTCACCCACTGATAACATTTGTCACATTATGAAATGAAAAATACAACATAAGAGGTCCAGAACTGTTGAGAAGCTGAAATCCTATGTTCGGCAAGAACGGGAAAACATTTCACTTTCAAAACTACAGCAGTCAGTCTCCTCAGTTCCTAAAAGTTTACAGAGTGTTGTTAAAAGAAGAGGTGATGAAACACATGCAAGAGGTGGTAAACATGCCCCTGTCCCAACTTTTTTGGAACGTGTTATTGGCATTAAATTCAAAATGGGCATATATTAAAAAAAAAAAAACAATAAAATTTATCTGTTTCAACATTTAATATGTTGTCTTTTTAGTATTTTCCTTTAAAAATATGGTTCACATGATTTACATATCATTGCATACTATTTTTATTTACATTCTGCACAGCCTCCCAACTTTTTTGGAAATGGGGTTGTACACATATATAAGGAAATGCATATTAAAACGTCCAATAACAACAGAGAAAAACGAAACAAAAAATACTGCTGAGGGTTCAAACAACAGACCAAAATTAATCAAATAAAAACTTTAAAAAGAGAACAATTTGACAATCTTTAATGTGTTAGTATTGCTTGAAGCAGGAACACAACCCGCATACTTAATGCTGGCTTAGGAAAACTTGGGTTGCCAGAAATGTCCAGAAACATACATAAACACGGCAGGTTAAGACGTCGAGGTTGTGAAAACGGAATCCTCCCAACTACAATTATAGAACAGTTACGTTTCAGATACCTTACTGTAAATCATTATACGATCACATGTAAAACACAGAATGACGCCTCATTTCTCCCCTCAAACATTTGCTTCCTCGTCAACATGGCAACTCTTGAGCAGGGAGTCTTGAGCACGCATGCGCAGACACTCAATCTGCCTTCAGCAACATGGCAGCCCCCGTAGACCTAGAACTAAAGAAGGTAAAGCGTGGCATATAAGTGTTATAGCATATATTTATACATTTTGAGCACCATGGTGGGTGGCCGAGGTAGCTAAAGAAGAGGACACGTTCTGAATTAGGGTCCTTGGTTGATGTAGGCCTGCTACTGTAAAGAAAAGCCACTCGGTTTGAGTTGAGCATTGCTAGCTATTGTCAAGAAACTACCTAGCTAGCTGGCAGTGTTAGATAACGTAGAGCTAATGTATGTGATATATTCATTTATTTATAGGTTTTCTGTGCTAATTACTCATTTGGCAACTATCTAGCTTCTAACCTGCATGTTGGTCCACGCAAGTTAGTAGCTAAAGTTAGCTGCTGATAGACTGTAACAGACTAGGGCTGAATCTCTAATGGCTCACCACTCCCTGTTACGTGCACTGCTTAAGTCTTGGAACTATGGCTTCTGCACTCAAGTAGTGCACTAAATGTTAGATAGGGAGTTTTGCAGCTTTAGCTGAATATAAATGGTCTTCTAATAGACATTTAATGTATTGTTTTTCTTTGGTTTCATCCTACAAAGTGCACTACATAGGGGACAGAGAGCCATCTGAAATTCAGCCTATGTTGTGAATGCTTATTAAGTTTTGAGGTTGTTATGTTGCGTTACATTTGTAGTCTGTATGGTTTGTATATGGAAACTAAGCTGCAAAAACGGCCCATTTTGAATTAAATCTGTTTATGACGTTATGCAAACCAGCACAGTTACATACAGCCTGTTTTATACTAAGGGATAATACTAATACTAATTTAATACTAAGGGAGGTTTGAAAACTGTCATGTATTAGTTAATTATTTTGTTGGTACATAAACCCACATGGATGTTTTAAATGGATCTCACCATGATATGTGAAAACAAGTATGAAATACAAGGAAAAAATATCATATGGGCCCTTTAACATTTTACACTTCAGTATACTTTACCAGTTCAGTTTAACGCTTAACTGAAATATGTGTTTGTGCCCCAGGCCTTTGCCGAATTGCAAGCCAAAATGATTGATACACAGCAGAAGGTGAAGCTCGCAGACCTGCAGATCGAGCAGCTGAGTCGCATGAAGAAACACGCCAATCTGACTCATGTAGAGATAACATCGCTGCCTGACAGTACTCGGATGTATGAAGGAGTAGGACGCATGTACGTGTCTCAGAAAGTGCAGTTGCCTTTGGATTAGACCCTTATGGGGATTATGGGATACTGTCATACACTGGATGTCCAAAATAAATCAGACCACCCTCTAGTGAATTCATCTACTTTAAGCTGTGCTGAAGGTGATCCTATTGCTGAGAGAGATGTTAAATTGTGTATAATCGCTTTTGAAAAACATGGCCAAT